AGCACGACCACCCCCCAGCACGACCACCCCCCCCCCAGCACGACCACCCCCCAGCACGACCACACCCCAGCACGACCACTCCCCAGCACGACCACACCCCAGCACGACCACACCCCAGCACGACCACACCCAGTCGCACCCCCGTGGAATGTTTCGTGGCGTGTCTGGTTGAGTGGTTGCCTGTTCGTGGGGTGTCTCGTGGAATGTTTCACGGGGTGTCTCGTGGAATGTTTCGTGAGGTGTCTCGTGGAATGTTTCGTGAGGTGTCTCGTGGGATGTTTCGCGGGGTGTCTCGTGGGATGTTTCGTGAGATGTCGCCCAGTTGGGTATCGTGAAAACGTGACCATGCTGCACATGTCTTTATCCCTTTCCGGGTTCGTGGGTCCATCATGTTGTTTATAGACGTACATGCGAACGGTATGTATGTATAGGTGTATGCCTGTCTGGTCTGTATGTATGTATGCATGCATGCATGTCTGTATGTATATATGTGTATGTGATCTATACATATATATATATATATGGATAGATCGATATAGAAAAGTATACTGGCCTTCGGCCCATCCCGCCACCGCGCCTGTCTCGGGGCCCTCTTGGCTCGTTTTGGGGCGCTCTTGGTTTCCAATCGTCACACGGGGAACGTCAGGGAACCGCAGGAGGCACGTGGCGACCCCCGTAACATTTGAGAGTGTGGGTCCGGCGTCCCGTACACATTCGATCCCGGGGCAGAGGACTGAGGACTACGAGGGACTTGAGGGCACTCCCACTCGTGCCTCGCGACACGGTGGCTGGTTTATATATGTACATATATGTATGTATGTATGTATGTATGTATGTATGTATGTATGTATGCATGTATTTGTATACGTTTACGTATACGTATACGTATACGTATACGTATGCGTATACGTATAGGTATAGGTATATGTATATGTAATTGTATATGTATATGTATTTGTATATGTATTTGTATTTGTATATGTATATGTATCTGTATATGTGTATGTCTATGACATATATATATATATATATATATATATATGTATAGGTATATGTATATACATGTATACATATGGGGCCAGCAGCACCACGAGGCACCACGAGGCCACAGTGCAGCCAACCGCGCGTGGGCCGAGCACGGCGTCTGAGGGGCTCGCCTCTCTTCCCTCTCCTTCTCCCCTCGCGCACCTCCTCGCCTCTGTTTTTTTCCCGGAAAGGGCGTAGGCCCAGGGTTCTCTTTTAGTATGTAAACATATCCCCCCGTGCCCAACTTGAAGGAGGCCGGCGGATTCTTTCCCTGATAAATATCGAGGTCGAAGGAGGCCGGCGGATTAAAATTTGAGGATGTCTCAGGCGAAACGCTTGTTTTTGAAATCCCGATCGATAAATCACAGGGTGCGGGCCACCTCAGCACGACCACATCCCAGCACGACCACACCCCAGCACGACCACGCCCCAGCACGACCACGCCCCAGCACGACCACACCCCAGCACGACCACACCCCAGCACGACCACACCCCAGCACGACCACACCCCAGCACGACCACACCCCAGCACGACCACACCCCAGCACGACCCGATCGATAAATCACAGGGTGCGGACCACCCCAGCACGACCACACCCCAGCACGACCCCACCCCAGCACGACCCCACCCCAGCACGACCACGCCCCAGCACGACCACACCCCAGCACGACCACACCCCAGCACGACCACACCCCAGCACGACCCCACCCCAGCACGACCCCACCCTAGCACGACCACACCCCAGCACGACCACACCCCAGCACGACCACACCCCAGCACGACCCCACCCCAGCACGACCCCACCACAGCACGACCACCCCCAGCACGACCACACCCCAGCACGACCACACCCCAGCACGACCCCACCCCAGCAAGACCACACCCCAGCACGACCACACCCCAGCACGACCTCACCACAGCACGACCACACCCCAGCACGACCACGCCCCAGCACGACCACGCCCCAGCACGACCACGCCCCAGCACGACCACCCCCCAGCACGACCACCCCCCTAGCACGACCACCCCCCAGCACGACCACCCCCCAGCACGACCACACCCCAGCACGACCACACCCCAACACGACCATACTCCAGCACGACCACACCCCAGCACGACCACACCCAGTCGCACCCCCGTGGAATGTTTCGTGGGGTGTCTGGTTGAGTGGTTGCCTGTTCGTGGGGTGTCTCGTGGAATGTTTCACGGGGTGTCTCGTGGAATGTTTCGTGAGGTGTCTCGTGGGTTGTTTCGTGAGGTGTCTCCTGGGATGTTTCGCGGGGTGTCTCGTGGGATGTTTCGTGAGGTGTCGCCCAGTTGGATATCGTGAAAACGTGACCATGCTGCACATGTCTATATCCCTTTCCGGGTTCGTGGGTCCATCATGTTTTATCCTGGGGTCACTAGCCGAGTCCGCATGTGGTTGCGCCGCCATCCCCACTACACATATATATATATATATATATATTTATACACGTGATATATATATTACACATATATATATACACATATGTATATATACATATATATATACACGCAATGTCAAACGCACCTTGCCGAGGGAGCAGAGCTCAGAGGAGACTACTTGAAGCCGGAGGGGGCCGTCCGCGATTTGTCTGACCGTTTCGTGGGAGATATCTTCATGATTCTGAACATCGGGCGCACCCTATACATCAGGGTCTTAAAGCAAAGCGCAACATATTTTCAATACTCTTCAACCAACAATTCTAGACGCTTCGCGTATCCCCACCAGCCCGTCCAGAAACGACGCCCAGGCGAGTAGAGGGTCGTCCTGAGGGGCTTTTCGGCGTCTTGGGTGCCTCGGGGGGGCCTCTTTGGGCCGTTTGGGATCCTCTTGGGGGCCTCCTGGGGGCCTCTTGGGGCCATCTTGGGGCCATCTTGGGGCCTCTTGGTGCCTCCTGGGAACTTCTTGGGGCCATCTTGGAGGAAATCGATCAAAGAAGAGGGGAGCTTTAATTAGCGCTGCCCCCTCAGAAGGCCAAAATGGGGCCAAAACCTTAGTCAAATCAATGATTTTGGCTTCAAAGAAGAGGGGAGCTTTAATTAGCGCTGCCCCCTCAGAAGGCCAACATGGGGCCAAAACCTTAGTAAAATGAATGATTTTGGCTTCAAAGAAGAGGGGAGCCTTAATTAGCGTTGCCCCCTCAGAAGGCCAAACTGGGGCCAAAACCTTAGTAACATCAATGATTTTGGCTTCCTCGGCGAGGCCGTTTTGGACGCTCTGACCGCTCCCCGCCCCCCCCGGTCCAGGTCAGTGGGGAGGGGGTAGGGGGAGGGGTAAACCCCTCCCCGAAGGGGAAGAAGGAGGGGTCGAAGAGGAAACTCGTTAAACCACCGACGCCCCAAAGGGCTGGTGGGACTTCCAGCCACAGAATTTATGGCAATGATGTTGGACGCGGTTCTGCGAAAGATGGCCGCCTCGCGTGAGACATCCCGCCAACATGGAGACCTGACGTATTTAAAGCGTTCCTCATGTTTCCCCAACAGCAGCAGCTTCGCTTGAGACATCCTCCCAACGCTTCTTTCGGAGCTACCTGCATTCGACTGCGATCCCGCTATCGCACCTTTTTCCTAGCAGCCAACCTGTGGTCCTCATTATTCTCCTTCTTTTTTATTCATCTGTTTCTCCATCTCCTGATTCCTTCTCCTCTTCGGATATGGCTTATTTCTTGTTGTCGATATTCGGCGATGTTTGCGTGCTGTAGTTCTTCTTGTGTCAGCCTGAGCGCGCACGTGCTGCTTGCACATATATATGCCGCCACGTTGTCTGAGTTGTGGGTCGGACTCCTGGATGCAAATCAGGGTATCTTGGGATGCCTCTCGAGGACTCAGACTCTTTGGGGTGTTCTTCGGGGCCTCTTGAGGCCTTCTGGGGACCTCTTGAGGCCTTTGGTGATATATACGAAGTTTACGTAGCACCACCAGCATCGTATTGCATTGGATGTTATTGCGAAGTAGCGTAGTGACTTGTAGTGCATTGCGTTGCGTTCTATTGTGGTCGAGAATGTCCCTGGCGACTGCAGGATACGCTTTCGTTTTCCCGAACGGCTCTGCGTGATCATAATGAGGTTTCTGATGCAGCATGCGTACACCTTCACAGGTGGAGAGACGAGGAAGCGGCTGTTGAAGAGTGCGCTGGAGAGTAGCACTGACGTGCAACGCGACGCAACGCATTTCAATTCCACACACTCTCTTTCACACACATAGATGTGTTCATCTTCACACATTTATCACAGCCACCGCGGACCCCAATTAATGACATCCTACAGCGCAGGCGGTGCAATCGAAATGGTGCAAAATGTGGTGCAGTCTAGGTGGATCAATCCATGTGCTGCCATGTATGTCTTGCAGTGCAATACACAGCAAGGCAAAACAACGCAAAGCAATTCAACGCAATGCAAAGCAATGCGATGCGATTGCAAAGCGTTTGCAAAGCGATTGCAACGCAAGGTTGAGCGAGGCAACGCAATGCAAAGCAATGCAAAGCAATGCAAAGCAATGCAAAGCAATGCAAAGCAATGCAAAGCAATGCAAACCAATGCAACGGCAACGCTATGCAGCGCAATGCGACGCTATGCAGATCGATGCAAATCAATGCACAGCAGTGCGATGCAATGCGATGCCATGCGATGCAAAGAGCGAGCCTCGCACAATCGAAATCGTGACCACGGACGCTAGCCACGGGCTGCGACGGGCGTTGGCAAGTTGGATGGATGGACAACCAGGCCAAGTTCTATAGAAGAGAAGTGAGAGCCCCACAGGGCAAATATCATTTGGGGACTAAGCATACGTGTAATCTGTCTGTGTGCTCTGGACGTGTATATTATTAATCTAGTGTATACAGTCTGTCTATGTTCGTCGACACCACATACCCTTCTCGCATCCCTGGGGGGCACCCTCGGCGCGTTCCTCCTGGACAATTTAGTTCCGGTGCTTTCCGCCCTCCCGCGAGGCGCGCGTTGGCGGCCCAGGCGGCCTTCCGCGAGGTCACGGCCCTGACGGAGGAGGAGGAGATGCTCCGAGACTCCGTGGCCCAGTTCGCGAGGGAGGTGATATCCCCACGGACCCAGGCCATGGACGAGGCCGGCCAGATGGACGCCGACATCATACAGGCTTGCTTCGAGCAGGGCATCATGGGCGTCGAGGTGCCTACGGAGCACGGCGGCGTGGGGCTCGGCTTCACCGCCGCCTGCCTGGCCGTGGAAGAGATCGCGAAGGTGGACGCAGCCGTGGCGGCCATGATTGACATCCACAACACGCTTCTCGTCAGGTACGGACCCTGAGACTTCGGCTTCATAGTCCCTGCGATCCTGGCGTCGCATTTCTGTCACGCTGGATTTTTTCGCTCACTTTGGGAGGCCCTGAGGGACACCCGCGGATCGACCCAGCTCGATAAATGCCGCAAAAAATCTGGCCGGAGGTTCGGCTGTGATTTTTCACGACGTTGCGTGTTTTCCAACCATCCTTCGGTGTTGGGTCCTCGTTTTGAAGAGACAGCGCCCCGCGTTCTCCTTCCTCCTCTCCTCCTCCTCCCCTTCCTCCCTCTTTCCATTCCTGCCTCTCCTCTCCGCATGTCCACCATTTGGGAACACTCCTCACACGTTTCGTGGCGCCATGGGGAGCTCCGCCTAGAGCCCCAGTGGCGACGTTCCCATGCGACCCCGCCACCCATTTTGGCACACCTCTCACACGCTTCGTGGCCCCATGGGGAGCTCCACCTACGGCTCCAGTGGCGACGTTCCCATGCGTCGCCGCCACCCATTTTGGCACACCCCTCACACGGTTCGTGGCCCCATAGTGAGCCCCACCTACAGCTCCAGTGGCGACGTTCCCATGCGCCGCCGCCACCCATTTTGGCATATCCCTCACACGGTTCGTGGCCCCATAGGAAGCTCCACCGAAGGCCCCAGACGTTCCCATGCGCCCCCGCTTGCCATTTTCGGCACGCCCCCCACACGGTTCGTGGCCCCATAGAGTGCCACCGAAGACGATATCACGATATCCGCAATTGCGGTACTTACATCTGCGAATGGTTGGATCCTGCGCCAGGCGAAATTGGTGACGTCGGATCTCAGGGATCTGGCCCCCGATGGTCACCACGGCGACTTGGGAGGCCAGGGTCTGCTGAGATGCTTGTGGGAATTCGGCGCGCTTGGCGCGCCGGGGCCCCTTCGGTTTTCAGCGGTTGTGGCCTCTCGAATCCGTGCGGTGCCTCGCAGGGGCCAGGTCGCTGAACCGAAGCATTAAATCGGGCGTGTCCCTCTACAGGAGGAGTATTCAAAAACAGTCAAAGCGTAGTCAGGGGACGATTTTCAGAGTATTTCTGCGCGCTTGTTGAGTACCTTTTGATCCTTTTCTATTTCTCGTCCAAAATCCGCCTGTAGGGGGACATGCCCGACCTAACCGAAGCATCCCGGGATCCTGACCAGGGCCTTCATGGAGTACGGCAACGAGGAGCAGCGCGATACGTGGCTGCCGCGGCTCGCCAGCGACACGCTGGCGGCCTTCTGCATCTCCGAGCCCGGCAGTGGCTCCGATGCGTTCGCGCTGCAGACCCGTGCTGTTCGCGACGGCGACGACTGGGTCATCGACGGAGGCAAGTGCTGGATCTCCAATGCGATGGAGGCTGGAGTCTTCGTAGTGTTTGCAAACGCGGACCCGTCGAAGGGCCACAAGGGCATTACGGCGTTCGTGGTAGAGAAGGGCAACCCTGGGCTGCAGATCGGGAAGAAGGAGAACAAGCTCGGAATCCGTGCCTCCTCCACCTGCGAGCTCGTGTTCGAGGGCATGCGCGTGCCGGGGAACGCCGTGCTGGGTGAGGTGGTTCATTGGGTGTTTGATCATGGCGCCCTTTGTCCAAGCAGCCATCCAGCTTTCGCGCAGAAGATTTCCGAGGACCGCCGGAGAATGCCGAATACCGCCGAGGGCCCATGGGTAGCAAGGGGTCCATGGTCGAACATGCAAGGGTCAATCAGCGACGATGCGTCCCAGTCTTTTTCCCTGCCGAACCTGTTGCGGCTTGTTTGAAGTGTAATTCTGAATCTTCCTGGATGAGGCAGCATACAGTTTGAAGTTAGCAGCTTAGTGCTCTGAGAGCTGGGCTTTGCCATTTGAGCATGTTCGTTTCTTGGATGATGTCGTGGTAAGTCTGCAGGCATACCGGGGACGGTTGAGCCCTGTTCAAGACTTGGCAGAATGGCGGGAGTAGGGAAAGGGTGGGGGTTCGAACTTTGCTGCGTTCAGCTGGTTTCGGCCCCGCCACCAGCCATTTTCCTCGATGGGCAGCTGCTTCCAGCGCCAGGAGGCGCTGGGGAAACCATTTGCGTGCATCCGATTCTTTTACCATTGTTGCTACTTCCTCCCCCATTTCGACCACCCCGAAGCCGTGGGGCAGGGCTACAAGGTCGCCATCGGTCCTTGGGAGCACCGACCCCTTCCTGGCCGTCTTCATTCCGTACACTTCTTTTACAGCCGCGGGCCTGGGAAAGAAACGGCCGCCGCGGCGTTGTTGCGAACCTTCCCACAGAGGTGGGGCAGGGCTACAAGATCGCCATCAGCCTCCTCAACGAGGGGAGGATCGGCATCGCCGCCCAGATGGTCGGGCTAGCCTCCGGGGCGTTCGACTACGCCATGGGCTACATGGTCACGAGGACGCTGACCGCATCGGGCCCTCTCACAGGTGCATGAAGACGACGATGATGCAGATGATGATCATGATGAGTACGACCACGGTGATACTGATGGGAATTACGGTCGTGAGGGTGATGCTTCTAATGGTGATGATGTTGATAATGTTGATGACGATGATGATGTTGCTACTGATGGTGATGATCATGATGATGATGATGATGATGATTATGATGACGACGACGATGACGATGATGATGATGATGCTGATGATGATGATGATGCTGATCATGATGATGATGATGATGATGATGATGATGCTGATGATGCTGATGATGCTGATGATGATGATGATGATGATGATGATGATGATGATGCTTAGCTGATGCTGATGCTGATGCTGATCATGATAATGAGAGGAGGGGGAAAGGAGGAGGAGGAGGCAGAACAACATAACGATGAAGAGCATTTCGTTCTATTGTAATCTTCGGGGTTTTCAGGAGGAGGGAAGGCGCCATGTGATCCAGCTCCCCTCCTCTTCTCCTGCTCCCTCCCTTTCTGCCTTCCTTCCCTCCCTCCACCTCTTGTCGCGTCAGTGCTTGCTCTCTGCGCGCCAGTTGGGCCTCAGCTTCGCGGGGCTTCGCGTTCGTCCATCACTCGGTGCGATTTCGTCGCTCGCTTCTGGTATGATCCAGGCAGCATTCGGCTTCCCCCCTCACGCCCGATTGCATCTTCCTGAGGCGTCTGGGCTCGACGAGGCTCCTAAAGTAAGCCATTCCGTATCATGCCATCTGCTGCGATCTTAGCTGCCTCGATGCGCCAATTCTGCGGCGCAGCACGCGCCCTGCCTCAGTCCTCTGTGCCAACACGTGGCGCGTGGGGGGCAAGCTCACCGGCCCACGTGTTGGCGCACGCATCGCGCCGGACCCGCGTGCTCCGTCCACACACTGCTCATGTCTACTTCTCCGAACCTTCTTCGATTTTTTGGGTGCCCAGATCCTTCCATGCCGAATTTTGTGCTATCCTGGGCCCCTTCCTGGCCACCAGGGGGCCAGGAACAATTAAAAACGAGCACACTTAGACGTGAGCACGATCAGAGAGTAGCGACGCGTACGCTGCGTGCCGCGGGCTGCGTATCGGGGCAGCCACGGCGCTACGATCCCGCCCGCACGCGTTCCGCAGGCGCCCAGCCCGGACTTGCTCCGCTTCTCGGCGGGGGGCGTACTCAGCTGTGTGGGCACCGCTGCGTGCTCCCAGCGGGAGCCGAGCCAGCCGCGTGCGCCCGCGTGCGCACTCAGTAGTTTGCACGGCGGTCGTTGGAAGTAGGTATTTCCCAGCCATCCTGTGGTATGGGGTCCTCGTTTTGAAGAGAATGCGCCCCGTGTCACTCACTCACTCCTCCTCCTCCCCCTCCTCCCTGCACAGCCCGCATGCGTCACCCACACTCCTTTCGGCACACCCCTCACAAGTTTCGTAGCCCTACTATAGGGAGCCCTACCGAAGGCCACAGTGCCACCGCCCGCATGCGTCACCCACACCCATTTCGGCACACCCCTCACACGTCTTGTGGCCCAGTCTTCTTTATGCACCTTCCTACTTCCATGATCGAGTGGCTTCATCGTTCTCTGCCCTCTTCCAGGGGGGCGTGCGGAAGCTCAATCTTCTTCACCGACGCGTGCCTACTTCGTGGTTCCACCTGCTTCTTTGGAACGACGGGTACGCACGCCGTTGCATAATCGTTTCCCAAAAGGACTCGCCGCAAGAAGGGATGCTAGTGCGCATTCGCGAAACAAGGTACACAACGACTATTGTCACACGGTAGCCCAGGCAGCAGCTCATCTTTACAATGTCTCAGAATAACCTCTGGGAGCCTTTTGGGCTTCCTCTTGCACCCAGTGTGAAGTTTTCTCAGGGTTGCATGTGATCCTCTCGGCTTCTCCTGCGACTCTGTTGGGGCATCCCGGTTTTTTGTGGGGGACCTGCTGAAGGCCAGTCGGCGCCTACGTTTGGAACACGACGAAGCACTCTTGGCGGCTTTTCGAGGTCTCTCGCTCTCTCGCTCTCTCTCTCTCTCTCGGGCCGCTCTGGGCAATCCGAGGGGCCTTCTCGAGGCCCCTTCGGGGCAGCCCTCGAGGCCCTCCGTGTCATTCCCGAGGCCCCAGGGGTCTGCGGAGATCGCTCGGAGCCGGGATCGGCGATACAGTCGGGGCCGTGAAGAAGGAACCCTTTTCGTTGGGGAGGGGCTCCGCGTTCCTTAAGTGTGTCGCAGCTTGCCTCAGGTCTTCCTTATGTTATCGATCGGAAATCGAAGCTTAACTTATGGAACAAAAAGGGGCCTCGTTCCTTATTTTGGGTTCCTTAGGTCAAGGCCCCGACTGTAACACTAAGATCACGGTGAACCGCACAACGCCACAGCAATTGCTCGACCCTCGGGGGCCTCCTTCGGCGACGTCGAGCCCACCCTGGGAAGGCACGCTAGAGGCCAGCCTTGGGCCCTCGCCCCGGACCCGGAGACATGGCACAGTTGCAGCAGATGGCGCCTGAAACCGCCACACAGAGGGCGGGGGGATCCAATACGAGCCCCTTACGATTTGGACTCGGCGGCGGGGCAGCCGCAAGACCCTCAGGGCCCGCGCATGGGGCAACTTACAGAAAATGCGTACGGTCTGTTTTGTCCCGGCCTCCTGGTGGTATTCTTTCTTTTTCTTCGTTTTCTTTTTCTCAACCATCCTGTGGTGTTGGGTCCTTGGTTTGAAGAGACAGCGCCCCGCGTCACTTGCCGTTCCTCCTCCTTCCCCCTCCTCCCTCCGCCCTCCTCCCCCTCCTTGCCTCTGCCCTCATTAGTATGCGGTCTCCCCACCCAGTACACCGTTTTGTGGCCCCAGAGGGAGCTCCACCGAAGGCCCCAGTGGCACCGCCCGCATGCGTCAACCCCCACCCAGTGCAGCGTTTCGCGGCCCCATAGGGAGCTCCACTGAAGGCCCCAGTGGCACCGCCCGCATGCGTCACTCTCACCCAGTACAGCGTTTCGTGGCCCCATAGGCACCGAAGGCCCCAGTGGCACCGCCCGCATGCATCACCCCCACCCAGTACAGCGCTTCGTGGCCCCATAGGGAGCTCCACCGAAGGCCCCAGTGGCACCGCCCGCATGCGTCACCCCCACCCAGTAAAGCGTTTCGTGGCCCCAAACGGGAGCTCCACCGCAGGCCCCAGTGGCACCGTCCGCATGCGTCACCCCGCCCAGTACAGCGTTTCGCGGCCCCACAGGGAGCTCCACCGAAGGCCCCAGTGGCACCGCCCGCATGCGTCACCCCCACTTGTGGCCCCACAGGGAGCTCCATCGAAGGCCCCAGTGGCACCGCCCGCATGTGTCACTCCCACCCAGCATAGCCTTTCATGGCCCCACAGGGGGCTCCAACGAAGGCCCCAGTGGCACCGCCCGCGTGCGTCACCCCCACTCAGTAGAGCGTTTCGTGGCCCCACGGGGGGCTCCGCCGCAGGCCCCAGTGGCACCGCCCGCATGCGTCACTCTCACCCAGTAGAGCGTTTCGTGGGCCCACAGAGAGCTCCACCGAAGGTCTTGGTGGCGGCTATCGCATGCGTCGCCCTCGCCCAGTATAGCGTTTCGTGGGCCCACAGGGAGCTCCACCGAAGGCCTCACTGGCGGTGTTTGCATGCGTCTCCCCCATACTCAGTACAGCGTTTCGTGGACCCACAGGGAGCTCCACCGAAGGCCCCAGTGGCACCGCCCGCATGCGTCACCCCCACCCAGTGCAGCGTTTCGTGGGCCCACAGAGAGCTCCATCGAAGGTCCCGGAGGCACCGCCCGCATGCCTCACCCCACCCAGTACAGCGTTTCGTGGCCCCATACGGGAGCTCCACCGCAGGCCCCAGTGGCACCGCCCGCATGCGTCCCCCCCCACCCAGTACAGCGTTTCGCGGCCCCACAGGGAGTTCCACCGAAGGCCTCACTGGCGGTGTTTGTATGCGGCTTCCCTCGCCCAGTACAGCGTTTCATGCCTTCATGGGGAGTTCAACCGAAGGCCCCAGCGGAGGTGTTCCAATGCGTCCCCCCCCACCCAGTACAGAGCTCCACCGATGGCTCCAGTAGTGGCGTTCGCATGCGGTTCCCCCACCCAGTGCAGCGTTTCGTGGCCACCGAAGGCCTCAGCGGCGGTGTTCGCATGCGGTTCCCCCACCCAGTACGGTAGGTTCGCGTCGTGTCGACAGGCGGCGACCCCGCTGCCGTCGTTCAAGGTTGAACGCCGCCAGCGACTCAGAATCGGCCGATGTTGAACGATCTGACGTTTCGGAAACGGCCGACCGTGCAAGAATGAACGATCCCCGCGGTGTCAAGAACCAGCGCCTGGGTCGACACGACACGAACCTGCCGTACTGTGTTTCGTGACCCCATGGGGAGTTCCACCGAAGGCCTCAGTGGCGGTGTTCGCATGCGTCTTCCCCACACATTACTGTGTTTCGTGGCCCCATAGGGAGCTCCACCGAAGGCCTTGATGGCGGCTATCGCATGCGTCGCCGCCACCCAGTACATCGTTTCGTGGCGCCACCGAGAACTCCACCTAAGGCCCAACTGGCGGTGTTCGCATGCGACTCCCCCACTCAGTACAGCGCTTCGTGTCCCCATTGGGAGCTCCACCGGAAGCCCCAGTGGCGGCTTTGTCCCATTGCGGCGCGCCCTTCGCACGCTTCGCGGCACCATAGTGGGTCCGACCTAAAACCCCAGTGGCAGCGCCCACATGGCGACCCCGCCCCATGTCGGCACAGCCTTCGCATGCTTCATGGCCCCATGAGGAGATCCCCCCAAGGCGATACTCGTAACGACGGTACCCACAATTCCATATGGTTGTTTCTTTCGCCTGGGTATCTTTGTCCAGGCAGGGCGGGGATCAGACTTCACGGAATGTTCGTTTCGGGATTGCGACGATGTGGGGGGCGTGAGAACGGGGAATCTATTTTGCCAGAGCCAATGCCCAACCAGTGGATGTTCTGAAATGGTCGCAAGCATTCCACGCCGGGTTTCTCTCTCTCTCTCTATCTTTCCCTCTCTCTCTCTCTCCCTTTCTCTATGATGTTTACGTTTTGCTCTGTCAGTTTCCTGTGAAGTCTAGTATGTCATAGCTTCTCTCAAGTCTATGTCTATTTCCTTCTCCTCCCTCTTTACAGATCTCTCTGTTTTCCCTCTCTAGCTTTACCTCTCTCTCTCTCTCTCTCCACTCCCCCCTCACCCTCCACAGCGCTGCTCTCTACCCTCGGCGTCTACTCTCTCGTCTGTGTTAGTTACTCCTTCATTATGCTTGTCTCTGCCATAATAGATGTCAGCTTCATTTCCCCTTCTCCCCAGGTGTCTAATGTGAATGCGTGTAGTTGACTGTTGTCGCAAGCGCCGTCTTTCTCGAATGAGTCTTTTTTTTTTCTCTCTCTCTCTCTCTCTCTCTTTCTCTCCCTCTCTGTTCTTGGTGTCTAATACTGCCTTATTTGTATGTTCAACAATTTGTTTCGCTCAGCCCTCTATTCTCCACTGGTTTCTCTCTATCCTTCCTTCTCTGCCGAACGGTGCTTTCTAATTTCTGTCATGTCGCCTCCATAGTATCTATGATCTGGCCTCTCATTCTGACCCTGGCCGAACGGACTTTTTGACGCACTCGAGCAGCTGGGACATTTGCCGTGCCTGGGACCCCAGGGCGGAGAACCCAGGACTCTGGCCGCCCATCGGAGTCAACCCTCTTCCCAGTTGTTTTATTACGCTCTGTTTTTTTTGTTTGTTTCTCTTTTTTTTTTGTTTTTTTTTTTTTCTCTCTCTCTCTCTCTCTCTATATATATATCGCCTTATCTTCCTGACTCTCTCTCTTTCTGCCGGTCTCTTCCTCCCCCTCTCTTTTGTCATCCTTCTCTCTCTTCCTCCCCCTGTTCCTCTGTGTACACAGTCGTACGGAATGTTGCAGTTTTGTATATGTCGTTGTCTCTCTCTCTCTCTCTCTCTTTCTCTTTCTCTCTCCATACCCTATCTGCACATATTCTATCCAGTCCCTTTACAGTTGCTCTCTCTCTCTCGTTCTTTGTCTCTGTCTCTCTCTCTCTCTCTCTTATATATATGCCCATATCGTTCTCTTCACTGCGCTTACTCTATCTTCCCTCCAAGCTCGTTCCATCCGCACATCCTTCCCTCCCCACCGTCTTCCATTCATCCCTTGTTTCCCTTCCCTTCGCTCGTTGTTTCCCCCTTTCTTTTCCCACCCCATTCCCTTACTGATTCCTTCCCTCCATCCATCCCTGTTTCTCCTTCTGTTCCTCTACCCCAGCCCCATGCCTCTCTCCTCCCCTCTTCCCTCCCTTCTTTCCCTTCCTCCCCTTCCTTTGGCCTCTTCGCCTTTCATTCGAATGTCTCCTTCCATCCATCCCTGCATTCCCCCCCAACCCCCGTCCCCTCCCCCTCTCGCCCCGCTCGTCCCTTCCAAATCTCTTGTCCTTGCGACCCTTCCTCCTCTTTCCTGCCCGTTCGTCCCGTCCCTCTCGCCCCACTCTTTCTCTTTCTCTCGCTCTCTCGCTCTCTCTCTCTCTCTCTCTCTTTTTGTTTCTCTCTCTCTCTCTGTCTCTCTATTTCTTCATATATTTTGTTGATTCCTGTCTCCCTGTCTCGTTTGCCCAATTTCGGAAGTGTGTGTGTACATATACATACTTAGTTTTGTATGTTCTATCAGCTTCTGTACAGATGCATGTATACCTGTCATACATCTCGCTCTCTTCCTCCCTCCGTGTTTCATAGTCTCTATCTGTCTGTTTCGTCGTCGCTCTCTCTCTCTCTCTCTTTCCCCTCTCTCTTCTGACCACCTCACTGCAGAAGTGTACGACATCGCTTTGGCTCAACCCATTTGGGCTGAAGTGCTCGGGTCCCAGCCTGACACGCCTGACGGTCGCGAGCAGCACTGCCTCTTCGAGAGTTTCCCGCGATGGCGCGCTCCAGCTTCGGTGCCCTGGCCCTCGCCGCGACGGCCGCGTGGCTGCTGGTCGCAACCCTCTCGCCGGCCTTCGCCGGCACGCGGGCCCAGCCGAGCCTGGCCGCGCGTGGGGACCGCGTGGGCAGGCAGGCCGGGTCCGAGATCATGCTCACCGCCCCCTCGATCGGCGGCAGGTACCGTGTGATCATCGACGAGAGCACCACTGTGGAGTCGTGCCTCACCAAGTTCAGGAAGATCTTCGAGATCGACCAGGACTTCCTCCTCGACAGCGACTTCAACGTCTACCTGAAGGAGGACGAGAGCAAGCCGATCTCTGGCAAGATCGCGGACCACACCAAGCTGCGCCCCTGGGGGCCGGACGGCATCGAGCTCCACATCTACTACGAGCCGAAGTGAGCGAGCGGCCTGGCTTCTCGCTTGCGGGGTTGAGACACAACGAACTCTGACGGCACGATTTTCTTTTCAAGACACGGTCGCAGGTTCCAGCGATGGAAAAACAAACATCACGGGTGCAAGCGAGAGCGTGCGAGAGCCAGGGTTTGGAGCAAACAGGCACCTCTGACCAAGTCGAACGATGACCGCCGCAGCTTGTCATTGCTGCAAGGGTGTGGCTTGCTTGCAATAGTAAGGAGACGGATTTTCGTCGGTATCTCGGAATCTCACGGTGGGCTGACCGTCGCCGAATAAAACCATCATTAATGTCGCATTGCGGCCTTCAATAACATTATGTTATTGAAGGCCGCTCTGCAAGCTGGAAACGTACTTTCCCCGAGCGTCCCACCCTCCACGGGGGGAAGCGATAGTCGGAACCCGTCTCGGAACAAGACGATCGTCGGGAATCAGAGGCCGGGCCAACCCATGCTGACGTCGCCATCCCGCCAAGCAGGCGCTGGAGCACCCCGCGGCGCGCACGTGCGCGTAGCCAAGCAATGGAAGACAGGCTACGGGCGTCGGGCGAGATGATCTGAAGACACGTGAAACACTGATTACAACGGGGAGGAGGAGTAGGATTAGAAGGGAAATAATCATAATGATGTTTGATTTGAGGCCATGGCGTGGCCAGTCCGGGCCGTAGCTAGACACACGGCTTCACTGGTCGCGTCCATGCGGGTTCAAGGAGCGTCAGCAGAAGCAGCAGGAGGAGAAGGAAGAAAATTAATGATAAGCAAGTTTGAAGCACATGGCGTGGCCAGTCCGGGCCGTAGCGGTATACACGGCTCCACTGGTCGCGTCCACGCGGGCTCAAGGACCATCAGAAGACGCAGACATGGTAAGAGGAAGAAGAGGGTACCTTGAAGCACACGGCGTGGCCAGTCCGGACCGTAGCCGGACACACGGCCCCACGGGTCGCGCCCATGCGGACTCAGGGACCAGCAGCAGAAGGAGGAGGAGGAGGAAGAAGAAGGACGCTCGAAGCACACGGCGTGGCCAGTCCGGACCGTAGCCGGATGCACGGCCCCACGGGTCGCGCCCATGCGGACTCGGGGACCATCAGCAGCAGAAGAAGGAGGGGGAGGAGGAAGAAGAAGGACGCTCGAAGCACACGGCGTGGCCAGTCCGGACCGTAGCCGGATGCACGGCCCCACGGGTCGCGCCCATGCGGACTCGGGGACCATCAGCAGCAGAAGAAGGAGGGGGAGGAGGAAGAAGAAGGACGCTTGCAGCACACGGCGTGGCCAGCCTTGGCCGCAGCGGCATAGGAGGGGGAGGAGGAGAGAGGAGGAGGGAGGAGGAGGAGGAGAGGAGGAGGAGGAGGAGGAGGAGGAGGAGGATGGAGGAGGAGGAGGAGGAGGAGGAGGAGGAGGAGGAGGAGGAGGGAGGAGGAGGAGGAGGAGGAGAGGAGAGGAGGAGGGAGGAGGAGGAGGAGGAGGAGGAGGAGGAGGAGGAGGAGGAGGAGGAGGAGGAGGAGGACGACGAGCACGAGCGGCCGCCTGCCTCCCCACTGCTCGGCCGTGGAGGGGCGGAGATGGCCCGCCGGCCGTCGCCACGCGCCCTGTGTGCCCGGCGCGCGGCCTCCGCGCGGCCTCCGCGGCCGCGGGTCTCCGGGTCGCTCCCGGTGCCGCTCGCGGGCGGGCGACGCAGAGAGCGTTCGGTCACCGTCTGGGCCACAGCGCGCGTGGTGCCCGCCTGCCCTCCCCCCTGCGCTCCCCCCCCCGCTCCCTTGGCATCGCTCGGACGTGTGCAGTTTTCCTTCGGCGAGGGCCATCGAGGAGCATCCTGGATCATTTGGCGAAGAACCACGCACGGAACCAAAAAACAAACACAGGGAATGGCCGTCCGAGCGATGGCCAGAGAGAGCGTTTGGTCACCGTCTGGGCCGCAGCGCGCGTGATGCCCCCCTGCCCTCCCCCCGCTCCCCCCCCCCCCCATACCGTAGCGCTCACCCCCCTCAGTGCGTCCCCGGCTCTGCTGCAGCGCGTCCAGGACCGGTCTTGGGAGGGGGGGAGGGAGGGGGGGGAGGGGGGGGGGCTACGTTTATGCCCCCTCCCCCTCCCCCTCCCCCCCCCTCCCCCTCCCCCCTCCCCCCCCTCCCCCCTATAACGCCTGTTACGGCCGCAAATAAAACAATGCGCTCGTAAGGTCGGGAATTTATCGTGTCGCTCCGCCAGTTCTGGCCCACCACGCTTTGGCGCGGCATGCTATCCTCGACTCCACGTAAGAGTAACCCTTCGCCGGAGCGACCTGCGGTGGGAGCCCGCTGGGGCCCCTCGATCGGCGAACGCGATGCGATAGTGGCGTCCTGCGCGCTAGGGGATGGCCCTTCCCGCGGCCCCCGCGAGACGTTCACCAAAGGTCACTCTTGCCTGGCGTCACTCTTACGTGTGATTCGCTGATCTCCTCTCCCCGGCCCCCCACGAGTCTCCTCGAGCCTCCCGCCCCGCGGAGCGGTGCGACGCGATATTTGCTCGTTCTTACGTGTAATCAGCTGATCTCCTCCTCCTCCTCCTCCTCCTGCTCCCCCTCCTCCCCCTCCTCCTCCTCCTCCTTCTCCTCCTCCTCCTCCTTCTCCTCCTCCTCCTCCTCCTCCTCCTCCTCACCCTCCTCCTGCTCCTCCCCGGCCCCCCGCGAGTCTCCTCGAGCCTCCCGCCCCGCGGAGCGGTGCGACGCGCCATCTGCTCGTAGGGTGTACAGCGTATCGCCTTGGCCGCCACCGCGCACGCGAGGGGTACAGGCTCCGTTACCGCGCCCACAGCTTGGGATGCGGCCCCACGGGAGATTACTACACTCGAGATCGTTGCTGGTAGGCCCCTGGTCGAGAAGTGGCCTTCTCTTGCTTCGTCCCGCTCTGTTATTCCGGCTCACTCCCGCGGAGTCCGGATCTATCCTTACACTCGAGATCGCTGCTGGTGGACCCCTGGTCGAGAAGTGGCCTAATCTTGCTTCCTCCCGCTCTGTTATTGCGGCTCACTCCCGCGGGGTCCGGATCCATCCCGCCCAATCCTGATTATTTCGGGGGCGGCAAAGAGGGGGGTGATGACTAGGGGGGGTGGATATCATGGCGTGGGCCATGATATTTCCCCAGATTTCATGGCGCCTCTTCTTATTTCATTACGTCCCTGCCTCCCCCCCCTGGGCCGCGCACATGCCGCCGGCCATGATTTGCACCCCCCGCTCTTGGACGCCCCCCTCTTGGCCGCTCCCGATTATACTCGCAGATCTAACCTGGCCTACTCCGGCTCATCGGCCTCAATCGAGCTACATAGGCGAGGATCTCCCAGGACTTCCCTCCCAACACGTCCACGGCCCTGTGGTCAAGACCCCTCGGCCGCGACCCCACGGATGCGGGGCTGCTCCGCGCGGATGCCCCACGCGGAGCGTGCCCAGGGGATCACGTACCCACGGGGTCGCGCCCCGGCGTTTGGACCACAGGGGCATGGAGATGTGCAGGTTTGTCGCTCGACCGTGGTCGTAGCGCTTGGCCACGACTGCCTCCGCAACAGGCCCTCCTGAGGGCCACGAGAAGAGTCGATCCAAGTCGATGGCCGCGCCCTGCAGAGCTACCGCCGTCGCATATTCTTAGCGACGTGGGCCCCTGGCGATCTCGACCTCTCGACCTCGTCTCCCCATGGCCGGGAGACGGCTCCGGGGGACCGAAAACGCAGACAGAGCACTTGACCGTTTTTTTTTCGTTGCGACGCCCGAGTCTGAGGGGAGTTGGCAACGCGCGTAAAGGGGGTGGCGCGAGGGGAATGGCTTCAAGGAAGGCGGGGTGCCTCTTAGAAGGCGGGGGCGTTCTCAGGAGGACCTGGTGGGCTCTAAGAAGACCTCTTAGAAACCGGGAGGGCTTCTGGAAGGCCACGTGCCTTCGCAGAAGCCACTCCGCCTTCTCAGAAGGCCCCCCCTTCGCGCCACCCTCGTGGCGCCCGGTCCCTTTCAGCCAAAAAGGTGTGCGACTGGAAGAACACATTCTCCGAAGGTGCGCCCGACGTCGTGACCGAGCACGCGGGGTGACCGAAACCGTGACAGAAGCTGAGTACAGTCGGGGCGCTGAAGAAGGAACCCTTGTCGTTGGGGAGGGGCTCGGTGTTCCTTGATGGTTTTACAGTTTGCCCTGCGTTTTCCTTAGGTTTTCCATGGGAAATCGAAGTTTAACTGATGGGAAAAAGGGGCCTCGTTCCTTATTTTGGGTTCCTTAGGTCAAGGCCCCGACTGTATCGCATTCTCTTCGAACCGCACATCTCGGTCAGACTCGGGCGCGGTCCGAAACTTTTGGGTGCCGTTCTCGGGGGCACAGTTCCGGTCCCTGCGCTCTCATCTCCCACGGTAGATCGGCGGCGCGCAGAGGGGGTAAGGGGGGGGAGCCTTCTTAGAAGAAGGCTGCTTCTTGAAAGGCGCGGGCCTTACAGTCGGGTCGCTGAAGAAGGAACCGTTTTCGTTGGGGATGGGCTCCGTGTTCTTAAGTGTTTCTCAGCTTGCCTCAGGTTTTCCTGATGTTTTCGACGGGAAATCGAAGTTTAACCCATGGAAAAAGGGGCCTCGTTCCTCAGTTAGGGTTCCTTAGGTCAAGGCCCCGACTGTATTCTCCGTAGATGTTAGGCCGGCGCCTTCTAAGAACCAGTCTCCTTGTAGGAAGCCTTCCCCCCCCATTGTCGAAGCTGACAGCAAGGAGGGGCTGCCTTCCCAAGGGTGCAGGCCCTGGCGTCCTCGCCTCCGCGGCCCGTCCCTGCACTCCTCTCGACGGCCAGCACCTCTCGAGGAGCCTCGACGTGCGCGTCCCAGGGGCCCGCAGCACCACCACCGCGCCCTTACCATCCGCTTCGACTGTGCTCCCCCCCGCGCCCCCCCCCCGGGTACAGTCGGGGCGCTGAAGAAGGAACCCTTTTCATTGGGGAGGGGCTCCGTGTTCCTTAATGGTTTCGCAGCTTGCTTTAGGTTTTCCCACGGTTTTCGCTATGAAATCGAAGTTCAACTTATGGAAAGTAGGGGCCTCGTTCCTTATTTAGGGTTCCTTAGGTCAAGGCCCCGACTGTTTTCTCCATAGATGTGAGGCCGGCGCCCTCTAAGAATCGGTCTCCTTGTGAGAAGCCTTCCCCCCCCCCATTGTCGAAGCTGACAGCAAGGAGGGGCCACCTTCCCAAGGGTGCAGGCCCCTGCATCCTCGCCTCCGCGGCCCGTCCCTGAACTCCTCCCGACGGCCAGCACCTCTCGAGGAGCCTCGACGTGCGCGTCCCAGGGGCCCGCAGCACCACCGCCGCGCCCTTACCATCCGCTTCGACTGTGCTCCCCCCCGCGCACCCCCCCCCGGGTACAGTCGGGGCGCTGAAGAAGGAACCCTTTTCATTGGGGAGGGGCTCCGTGTTCCTTAATGGTTTCGCAGCTTGCTTTAGGTTTTCCCACGGTTTTCGCTATGAAATCGAAGTTCAACTTATGGAAAGTAGGGGCCTCGTTCCTTATTTAGGGTTCCTTAGGTCAAGGCCCCGACTGTTTTCTCCATAGATGTGAGGCCGGCGCCGTCTAAGACTCAGTCTCCTTGTGAGAAGGCTTCCCCCCCCCCCCCACTGTCGAAACTGACAGCAAGGACGGGCCACCTTCCCAAGGGTGCAGGCCCTGGCATCCTCGCCTCCGCGGCCCGTCCCTGACCTCCTCTCGACGGCCAGCACCTCTCGAGGAGCCTCGACGTGCGCGTCCCAGGGGCCCGCAGCACCACCGCCGCGCCCTTACCATCCGCTTCGACTGTGCTCCCCCCCGCGCACCCCCCCCCGGGTACAGTCGGGGCGCTGAAGAAGGAACCCTTTTCATTGGGGAGGGGCTCCGTGTTCCTTAATGGTTTCGCAGCTTGCTTTAGGTTTTCCCACTGTTTTCGCTATGAAAGCGAAGTTCAACTTATGGAAAGTAGGGGCCTCGTTCCTTATTTAGGGTTCCTTAGGTCAAGGCCCCGACTGTTTTCTCCATTGATGTGAGGCCGGCGCCGTCTAAGACTCAGTCTCCTTGTGAGAAGGCTTCCCCCCCCCCCCCACTGTCGAAACTGACAGCAAGGACGGGCCACCTTCCCAAGGGTGCAGGCCCTGGCATCCTCGCCTCCGCGGCCCGTCCCTGACCTCCTCTCGACGGCCAGCACCTCTCGAGGAGCCTCGGCATGCGCGTCCCAGGGGCCCGCAGCACCACCACCGCGTCCTTACCATCAGCTTCGACTGTGCTCCCCCCCCGCGCCCCCCCCCAGATACAGTCGGGGCGCTGAAGAAGGAACCCTTTTCATTGGGGAGGGGCTCCGTGTTCCTTAATGGTTTCGCAGCTTGCTTTAGGTTTTCCCACGGTTTTCGCTATGAAATCGAAGTTCAACTTATGGAAAATAGGGGCCTCGGTCCTTATTTAGGGTTCCTTAGGTCAACGCCCCGACTGTAGGGGCGAGGCTGCGCGGCGCACCCCTCGGGGCGCGCGGCGGGCCCCCTTGGCGCGAGGAAGCAGTTCGGCCAGGTCGTGGCGGACTTCCAGGGGATGCAGTTCCAGTACGCGCGGGCCAGGATGGAGATCGAGGCCGGCGGGCGTCCTCCCCTGCATGGGCAGCCCTCCTTGATGCCCCCCTTCCCCACCCCCCTCCCCCACCTCCCACTCCATCTCCTTCTCCTCCTCCTCCTCACTTACCTCAGCGTCTCCTCCCTCTCCTTTGCCCCTTCTCCTTCCCTGCCTGCTGCCAGAGGCTGCTGCTTCTGTTCTGCTTCTGTTCTCTTTCTTCCTCCCCCTCCTTTCCTGCTTTTTGTTTTTTCCATGTGAGATCTGTTCCTACTCTCCTGCTTGTCTCCCTCTTCTCCCATTTTGCGCTTCTTTCGTCTCTTCTGCATACATCGTCGTCGTCATCCTTCATGATATTTGTGCTATGTATCTTCCCCTGCTCTCCCCATTGGTATACGTATGACGTCCCTGCTTTTGCCAACCCATTTTGCATACACCGTTTGCCAACCCATATCTGCTTCTCGCCTCTGCGCTTGAGCTCTGCTCATGAGTATTGCGAAGGCCTTACGGCCGATGCCGCCGACCCTGGAGACGACCCTGTCGTCTGGGCGCGCCAGCCCTCGCGGATCGGACGGTGGCTGCGAGGCGCTGTCGGACGTCGGAGGCGTTGAAAGCGCGCTTGCCGCGCTCGGGAAAGTGTCCCTCCTCTGTTCTGTGGTAGGGAGGAGGAGGAACAGGCGGAGGAGGAGGAGGACAAGGTCGAAGAGGAGGGAATACCCGGTTGTTTTGTAATTTCCTAGTTTGTTTTGTAGCTTCCTAGGAGAGTTTTGGGGGCCTCTCGGGAGCCTCTTGGGGCCTCTGCGGGCTTCCTGGAGGGCCTCTTGGGAGCTTCTCGGGGCTGAGGGCTCGAAATGTCCGTTCGGGTCCCCCGTCTGGGCGCTCTCTTGGAACCGTTAAGGGGGCCTTTTGTGAATCTGGGAGGCGTCTTGGGCCGTCTTGGGGCACTTTTGGGCCGTTTGGAGACCCTCTCGGAGGCCTCTTGGGCCGTGTCGGGGCGATCTTAGGAGCCTCTTGGGCCGTCTTGGCGCGTGGGGAAGCGGAAGAGGCGAAAACGCCAAGTATCCTTGAACCAATGTATGGGAAATCCACGATTTGTACTTCTCGGGGCTCTCGTGGGAACGGTCCTGGAGGCCTCTTGGGGCGTCTCGCAGGCCTCTTGGGCCATCTGGAGGCCGTCGAGGCGTCTTGGACAGATCATTCGGCGATTCGGCGCCCTCTTGGATCGTCTTGGTGGCCTCTCTGGGCACTCTTGGCCCGTCTTGGGACTTTCTTGGGCTCCGGGATTCCCCGGGGGGGCGGCGTAAAAACCCGGGCCCCCCCCCGTGCTTCGCGCCTCTGCGCTTGAGCTCTGCTCATGAGTATTTGCGCCTTTGCTCGTGAGTGCTTCCTTTCTTCCCTAGGACATGGAGAGTCGGATGAGGGAGGAGAGGGTCGGAGAGAATGGCAGGACGGGAGGAGAGGAGGGGGAAGGGACATTCCAGTGGGGGGTCTAGTGAGAGCGTGTCCAGGCTCAGTTCGGAAAGAGGCACACGCGCCTCTTCATTCGCCGTGCGAGCCGCCTCGAAAGGGTTGGAGAGCGCAGGCGAAGCCAGCAACGAGAACAGGTCCCCCCCCCGTGCGTGCACGGCCTGCCTGAAAGGCGTCTGTTGGGCGGCCCTCTCTTGATGATGCGCCTGTGGCGTCGTGCGTGCACGGCTTGGGCCGAGCGCCATCCTCGCCCTCCGCCCTCCTTCCGAGCTCGCTCTCTCCTCCTCCTCCTCCTCCTCCTCCTCCTCCTCCTCCTCCTCCTCCTCCCCCTCCTCCTCCTCCGCCTCCTCCTCCTCCTCCTCTTCTTCCTCCTCCTCCTCCTCCTCGCCCTCCGCCCTCCTTCCGAGCTCGCCCCTCCACCCTCTCCGCCCTCCGCCCTCCTCCAGCCGGCAGGGCCCCCCCCTCTTCGATGCTGCCGCGCCGCGCCGCGGTCATCCCCCCGAGCACCGCGCGCTCCAGGGTGCTCGGGACGGGTCCTCGTCGGAAGGGGGGCGAGGGGATACAGTCGGGGCCCTGAAGAAGGAACCCTTTTCGTTGGGAAGGGGCCCCGCGTTCCTTAAGTGTTTCACAGCTTGCCTCGGGCTTCCCTTATGTTTTCGACAGGAAATCGAAAGCTAACTTATGGAAAAAAGGGGCGTCGTTCCTTATCTAGGGTTCCTTAGGTCAACGCCCCGACTGTACCTCACACGCGGTGGATGCTGGCTGATGGCGACGGCGATGGCGCTGACGGGCAGGCACGCTTCGGTGTCAGTGCCCACGTGCGGTGCAATTCTCGCCAGGCGGCGCGCTGCCTGGTGTACAACGCCGCCCGCCTGAAGGAGAACGGGAAGCCGTTCGTGATGGAGGCGGCCATGGCCAAGCTGAAGGCTCCATGACCTCACTGTCTTCTTCAACTTCTGTTGAGGTGGATCGCAGGGTGTGACACACAGAACAGATGGAGCTAATTGCGTCTTGCCGATGATTACGGGCGCGGGTGAGGCAGGCGTGCCGAAGAGAGCGGGGGCAGATGGGCTGAGAGGAATGCGGATTGTAAGGGGCCAGATGTGGAGGAGACGGAAGGGGAGGAAGAGGCCCGTAGCCATTGTGGCGCAAGGCGAAACGTCGTGACGGGTCGGGGACCCGAGAGCCAGCGACTAGTTTGGGTCCATCTGTGGCCACCGTTCGAGGTCGCCAGGCGGCCTGCCTCGAGGAGGCCATCTTTTGCACCAACGACCTCCGCGGCGAGCTTGCGGGCAATACTTCTGTCCATGTGCACTGTGATATGGAGTTTTGGGTTCCCTTCCCCAGAAACCAGAGGCGCCCTGGATATGGATAAATTTGCCCCCTAGAGGCTGGATTTTTATCCATATCCAGTGCGCCTCGGCCTTGTGACGCTCCTTCCCAAAAAATCCAAGACGCACTGGATATGGATACGAACCTTGCCCGCAGAGCTCTCCCGAGTCAAGCGGACTCCTCCTTTCGCTTGCGGGTGCCAGCCATATCGACGGGGGTCGCGACTGGCAAAGTGAAGGACGACGATGTCGGATCTTCCTCAGGCTGGGGTCGACGTGTCTGCTGTGGCCACCTCTTCGTGGGGAGCGAGCCGCGTCTGACGCTGATCTCGGCGAACAATCCGACGAACCGCACCCTGACGATCTCCGTGCCTATACCGACCAGATCAAGAGCATCTCCACCGCGGGAGCGTGCAGGCCACGGCCAGTGCAGCCCTCACCGACGCGTCCGGCCTCGTGGTGGCACCACGTGGAGGGCTGTCTGCGCAGGTCGAGGAGAGGCTCGCGCCGCTGGAGAGTACGGTGCGGCCGCAGGGCCAGCCGACCGAGGACATGCAGAACGAGATCGAGCACCTCAAGGGCGAGCTGCACGTGGCAAAGAGCGCGGAGCCTGCTCCGTCTCCTGTGGCAGCGTGTTCGTACTTCAACAGGGCGAAGGACCCCACGGTCATCATCATCAGAGCTCCCGCGGTGGTGGCCCGCGAGAACATCAATCTCGCGATGTGCCCGTGGATGGAGCAGGCCAACCTGGATGGCATGCGGTGGGAGGTGCAGGACGAGCCGTCCAGGCAACGGTTTTTGCCCTAAATCAATGGCGCCTCTGGCTACGCCAGCCGGGTCGTCAGCCAGGCGATCGGCTTCCTCAAGCCGCCGACGCCCCAGGGCGAATGGAGGCGCTTCTTCACCCAGTCCGTCGTCCTCGACCGCGTGGAGTTCTACGTCGGCGTGGAAAAGGCGCCGTTCCAGATCCAAAGGGCGTTGGCCTGCAAGAAGGCCCGCCAGATCTTCGCACAGCATTTTGCTGACAAGAAGGTTTTCGCCAATAACAACAAGGGTAATCGATCGCACAACTTGAAGGAACTGCTTGCGATCACCTCTTCAGCTACGGATGAGATGCCGACCCTGCGCTGGAAGAGGGCGAACCTCGACGGCCAAGGCATCGAGCCGAACGCCATCATCCCCGCGGTGCAGGCAAGCCCTCGCAGGAGGCGAGGACAGTGACCAGTGGTGTGTTTAGCACATTGCAGCAGCTGTGGCGCGGGCAGCGTCGCTCCGCAGTGCCCGTCAGGATTGCCCGTTGGGCCGCTCGTTTTTTCCAGTTTCATAAGGTTCCGGTCGTTTAAAGAAGCTGATGCTGTTAGGCGATCTCCTGCAGAGGGGAGCGATCGTTGCTGTTCTGGAAACGCACGGCTCAGAAGCTGAGCCAAAAATTGTTGTGCACCACTCCCGCTAGCCAGTCCAATCCACCTCCTCCTTTGTCCTTCCTGGCTCCGCCTCGAGTCGTACTGGCGGAGCGGCTACGTTTTCCTTCTCTTGTCCACATGTCTGAGGTTCGTCAACAGGTTTCTGCTCCCCCCTCCCAATAGTCTCCCATGATCGTCTGGTCCTTGTGCGAGTGCTGCACACTAATAGCCGGTCTCATGATGGTCAAGCCAGGGTCTTCCACTTCAGCGTTCGCAATCACCGACTTGACGTGCAGGAGAGGCTACTAGTCTCTCGTCGCATCCAGGGGGAAGCTGCTGACAGTCGGCAGCGTCCGCACGAGCGGCTTGTCTTGGTGGCTGTCGGCTGCACCTTGGGGCATATCTCTCCTCATCCTCTCGCTCCTGAACCTGAGGCTGTGCTTCCTGTCCCCGCTGCTCCTCCTCGAAAATGACTTGATGCGCTAGGACCTCTCGCGGCATTATTTCAACTCGAAGCCCTGGCTCACTATCACCCTGGTCACCCTGGGGCCAACATGGTTCCGTACATCGACAGTATTTTCACGTCGGCCCCTGGCTGGGTCTTCGCCCAAAAGTCCACGGGGGGGCAGGTCACTCATGATCCAGATGTCTTGCAGGCTGTAGGTGTTTCGGACCATTCGCCAGTCTGCGTGTGCATGCAGGTGAGAGAGTCGCCGCCGGTCGAGCAGTGGCCGGTCCTGGAGGCGATTTTCAAAACTACGGAGTTTCAGACTTAATAAATGGATGAGTCAACCCTCTCGGCATCGAGCTATCAACAAATTATGATCGACGCCGCTCGACGCGCTCGAAATTGTATCATGCGCACCAAACCCCATGCGCACCAAACCCGACAGCAATTCGGAGCATCACGAAGGCCGTCTTCCAGAACAACTTCGGCTTGGCACAGAAGCTGATCAGGTCACATCGTTTGGCGCGCGAGCGCTTGTCCGTGGACCACGACTCTAGGAGGGTTTCCCTGGTCGCCCCTGACTAGTTCCCCGGGCTTTCCAACGCGTTGAATCGCGAAGTCGGGTTTTCTACGGGATCCGAAGTGAGGTAGGGGACTCACTCCGAGTCCAGTGGCCATCGTCGGGCCCCCTCTTTAAAACAGTCGAAGCGTTTGAGCGAAGCCCAGCAATTGTGGCCCCCCTTCGACAAGCGCACGTGCATAGCTGGAGTCCGGCTGCAGGACGGAGCGGTCGCCCAGGGCGCCGGGCAGATTCCGTGTGAGCTCAGGGCGCGCTGGGTCGAGGTTTTCACTGCCAGGCCGTTTGCCTCGGACATGGCCGCCGAGCTTCTGCGACAGCATGCGCCGCGCCTTCCTGCAGTGGACCTCCCGCCACCGAGCAGCCACGCGAGTGGGGAGATCCTTGAGAGAGCCCGCCCCTCGGCCCCTGGTCCCGACAACCTACCGTACGAAGCGTGGAAAACGGCCCTTGGTGGTGTTGTCATGTACCGTGACGGCGTGATGCGGGTGCTCGACGGTTACTCCCAAGGCTACGAGTAAAACCATATGCTAGGTGTTTTCGCCCCCAAGGGCTCCGGGGGCGACTGCGGAAGCGGGGCTCTCAGATCCGCGGGCGCCGCGAGACCCCTCGGCCTCAAAAACTCTGACAATCACTCCAGCTCCGCTGCTTGCTGCTATGGCCTCAACGGAGTTGCCCCGCAGGGCTTGGACGGGAACCAGAGGGGCTTCGTTGCGGGAAGAAGCTTCGGGGGCGACGTCGTCGACCTCGATGTGCGCGCCAGAGCCTGCCGCATGTCTGACCCGCCCCCTTCTCCCGATCTTAGTTGGCTAGGACTTTGGCCAGGCGTTTCCCTCTGTGTCGCAGGAGTGGTTGCTTGCCGTTGCCGAGTCGCTCTCGATCCCGATTGCGTTGAAGGAGTGTTTCAAGCTCTTGTGCTCTGATGCTGTTTGCTGGTGGAAGCTCGGGAACTTTTCCCTGGTGCTGTTTTCGATCATCAGCGGAATTGCCCAGGGCTGTCCAGGGTCTGGCCTCTTGTCCGCTGTCGGGGTGGGCCCATGCCTCTGGAGCTTCCGCGAGGCAGCCGGCCGACCAGGCCAAGATACCGCCCGAGCGTGCGCCAACGGCATCGGCGCGGTCTCGAGTCGTCTCCTGCGCCTGCTCGAGGTATTTCGCGGATTCGAGGCAACCAGACTGATTGCGCACCTGGAGGTCAAGACTAATAAGTGTAAGTTCGCTCCCGTCGGTGGCCCTCCGAACTCCAGGATTGTTGCGGATGAAAGTCTGGCTCCTCGAGAACATCCCCGACTGGGGTGACTTTGAAGTCAGCGGGGAGCATGGATGCCTTGCGGCGCCCCGAGGTCCCGATGCTTGCCCTGAAGGCCCTTGGAAGAGGCCGGGGTCTGAATGGTGGGCGAGGTCGCAGCTTCTGGGCGACCAGAACGGCTGTTCTGAGGTGACTGCTGAAAACTACCGATCACGTTGTCTCAGCACTGCGTCGTGCGTTGCTGATTCTTCCCCGCCTGCTGCCCATTTCCTCCGCGATGAATATCGAGCGTTCCCGATGTTTAACGTGCCTTACCGAGAGATGCCGAACGCGGACCTGCACAATTTGTTCCGCTGGGGCGGGCCACGGACCAGCAGCGTGCAGGCCGTGTGCCACTCGGCGCTGATGTTAGCCGCATGTCGCACTTTTTTTCCGTGGAGCGCATGGGCGGCCCTCTTGCTCGAGGGCGCAGACATGGGGTGCGCATCTGTTGTGAGAGACCAGCCGTGACCCGATCGCTGGCACAGCCCCCCGTGCGCGGGGTGTATGACGCAGGCGTCCGGAGGCTTCCCAGAGTCAAGGGCATAAAAAACGCCCCTACCCTGGTTTACGAGGCGCTGTGCGCTGAAACTCCTGTGGGCTGACAGGGTAAACCCCGCGTGATGTGCCGCGTCCTGGCGGCTCTAGACTTTGGGGGTTCCCGGGAGGTTTACAGACCACGCACTTGTAACCCGGGGTAGGGTCGTTTTTCCATCTCTCAACAGAGGGCCCACTGACCTGCTCGTGCTCGTGCCGCTGCCCTTCAGGCCACCCCGAGCGCCCGAGGTGCGGGCCCGCAGGAGGTCCCCCGGGCAGGCAGCTCGAGAGCCGGCGCACCTTCACCTCCTCCTCCTCCTCCTCCTCCTCCTCCTCCTCCTCCTCCTCCTCCTCCTTCCCCTCCTCCTCCTCCTCCTCCTCCTCCTCCTCCTCCTCCTCCTCCTCCTGCCCCTCCTCCTCCTCCTCCTCCTCCTCCTCCTTCTCCTCCTCCTCCTCCTCCTCCTCCTCCTCCTAGCCTCCAGAACACGTTCCAGAGAAGACTCCTCCTTTGGCGCCCCGATGCTGGGTCCATCATCGTTCGGATCGACGGGGGAAACATGAGGCTGGCCCTCCTGCCCCTCCCTCCCGCCTGGCATGCCGCCGCCCTCGTCACCTAATTGGGGATGTTGGGCCATGTCTAGTAGGTGCCAGGAGTCTGCGGGCTGTCTTTTCGGTTGCTCTGGGACCGAAGACTCATTCGCCCACTATTCGTCTTGCTGCGTGTTTCGCTGGCTCCTTGAGTTGCTGACGGGTCGCATTGTGGAGGGAGGGCCCATTGCGAGATTCGGAGTGATAGGTCCCTCGGAGGAGGAGCTTCGGGTGGTCGTGCTAGCCTTTTATTTGTGCAATGCGCTGAATGCGCTGCCGACTGATCGATCGGGCCGGCGAGGAGGACGTTGGGGATGTTTGGGGATGGCACTCGTTGCATTTGCGGCCCATTGCCCCGAGGGCAGGATGGGGCCTGCAGTAGCGTCTGCAGACCAGTCTATCCAGGCCAGCCAACTACGCCCAGCCTCCTTAACCCCGCGTCGTGCGCAGCTCCTGTTGTCTTGCTCTTTGGCCTCACCGCGTACCTTCGATGCAGCGTTTTTTCCTGCAGCGCTGCAGTCTTGCAGGATGCTTTATGAGGGACACTTAATGCGCCATACCTTTGACGCTTACCATGCTCGCAGTCTTTTTGCCCTGGCAGCGCTGGCGCCGCGCCATCCTCGACAGTGGGCCTGGGGGGCGGGGTCGGCCGGCAGATGTGGGCGGGTATGGGGGCGACTCGCGCTCTTCACTAGCGGGTCCCCTACCCGTGGGCAGGCCGGGACCCGCAGCTGCGTTGCAGGCCGGCCTGCTCCAAGCCAGCCCTCACCATGCCCAGTTTCCCAGCACCACACTGTGCACAGCCCCTGATGCTATGCCTTTCAGCTTCGCCACACACCTTTGGCTGTTTCCCTGCCACGTTTTTGCCGCCAGTGCTACGGATCTGCAGGACACATTAGGATGCAAGCAATGTGCTCCATATTGGCACGAGGGTGGCAGCCCTAGGATTGCAGCGCTGTTAAGCCAAGCGCAACCTTCACATTCGAACTCTTATGATAGACAATACTTGCAGCTCTTTTGCGTCTCTGACAGCACTTGCGCCGTGCCTGACTCATGGAGGATGGGGTGGAGCTGGAGGGGTGGGGGACGAGGACGTCTCATGCCGCAAGCTTACATTTCGACCATTTATCGTTTTGCACAGTTCTCATCAAACCAGCCAGTTCCATATATGTAGGCCAACCTACCAAGACCAGCAGATCAAGTTTCAAGCCTCACTCGCATATGCCCTGGTCATTGACTAAGAGCAGCCTCTACTGCCAGCGCAGCAAAGTCGTTCGCCAGCTTCACTGACCTTTGGGACGGGGGGGGGGAGCTTCTGAGTGAGGGAGGGACTACTATTGACAACTATGGCCACTTTGGCTTTCAGCGGAGGGGCGCCAGCCATGCTGTGGGCCGCTGATTGCCAGACGTTCGCTCTCACACTGTACGCAGCATGCCCACATTCCACCACGATGGGCTAGCCGGAGTAGGTGGAGAAGGAGGAGGGGGAGAAGGAGGAAGAGGAGGATAGTAACGGGTTCAGAAGGGAGGACGATTAGGAAGACACATCGGGGGACGAGGCAGAACGATCTTGTGGATGTGGGGGCGGCAGGAGCAGGCGGACCAGGAGGAGGACTATGACGATATCTTACTCGAGGACGAGGGATACGAGCGGCGGAGGCCCTCGGCGGCGATGGCGGTCGGCGGCGGCGGCGCCGCCAGCAGCCCAAGTTCCGAGGCTTCCGAGGTCGCGCAGAGCGTGACGTCCGAGGCTATCGACTGGCTGGGCGGCGTCGGGTTCACCAAGGAGTTCCTGGCGGAGAAGGCGCGCGCCCAGCAACCTCCCGAGCCGTGCAGCCGCCAGGGTAGGCCGCCGGCTTGGCGACGCCGGCCGCGCTGGCGCCGATGCCACTCCAAGCCGCCGAAATTTCTTGGCTGGGGGTGTGGGTCAGAGGATCGAGCCGTGCCGTCGATGCACCGGCGGTGCGGCGCGATCCAGAATCCGATTTGAGCCTCCCCGACGTCGCCGATGCACCGATGCATGGGCGACGTTGGTCCCATGTGGGCGTTCTCCAACGAGGGACCTTTTGAGTCGCGGAGCGGGTCGCAGCTGTGGCGCGCGCGCCAACGGTCGGGCGTCCAGGGAGCAGGCCACCCGCTGGCCATGGCCTCGCCTAGTCCTAAGCCATCCTCACCAACCCCGTCCCACTGGGTAGTTCTGGGAGGCTTTGGAAGAGCTCAGGCGCCTCTCGGGGTGCTGCTGGTGATCTCTGGCGGCTTTGGGCCCTCGATGCTTGTTGACAGTTGACCCCAGGTCGGCCAACCACACAGTGTTTTTATCCGGGGTCGCCCGAAAGTGAGCTCGTCTCTGTGAGCTCACAATGTGTCCTAGTTATTTGGGTGGCGAGGAGCGTCTTACTGTAAGTGAGCAGAAGTCAGTCACCAGGGGGCCAACTCACGCATAATCAGATACCAATAGCCCCCGCAAGTGCGCACCAGATTGAGGAGTGAGGGGGTTGTCGTTGGCGGTTTGCCTAGCTCAAAAAGACCGCCGCAGGCGGTCTGTTTTCACATAACCAGCCCGCCGCAGGCGCCGATTTTGTCAAAGCAGTTGCAGGTGGATCGCGGATGAGTCGTCGGTGGGTCGGCGGCCGAATCGCGCGGCGGGTTGCCCAACGCGGGTGGGTCGCGGCGCGAGACACCCGCGTCACGAGCTCTGTATTGCCCAGTGTGCTAGTGCTACCCGTCCAGAAATCAGCACCACGCGGAGTGATCAGGGAAAATTGCCTCGCCCTTCATTGTGTTTTCTTTTGGCAAAATCTTGGATCCCCTGGCCTGCTCGTGTTTTGCTGATACATCGGCTCCTAAGTGCGAGTGCAGGGCAGAAGATGTATCTTAATAGCAAGGGCAAAGTCAAACGTCAGGGCAGGGGGAAGGTAGATCGCGACATTTGGCAGGCCAGGGTTGGTTACCAGCCTCCCAGAATGCAGGCCGGACGGAGCATTCGCAGCGTTTGCAAATTGCTTGAATCGGAAGAAATCGAATGGCCTTCGGCGCATCCCGCTACCGTGCCTGGGTTGTGGGTGTGACTATTGGATGTTCGTTGGGATTTCGTTGGAGGCCGCTCGGGGTCCTCCTGGAGGCAGTTTTGAGGCCTCTTGTTGGCCGTTTTCGGGCCTCTGGGGGCTGCTTTTGGGCCTATTGGGGGCCTCTTGGGGCCTCTTGGGGTCTCTTGGGGTCGCTTGGGGCCTCTTCGGCGCCTCTTTGGGCATCCTGGGGGCCTCTTGGGGTAGCATGCTTGGATTTTCGGTTCGTGTTGCCTCTCTTGGGTCCCCTTGGAGGCCGTCTTGGACCCTCTTGGGCAGTCTTGGGCGCCTCTTGGGCCGTCTTGGGGCGCTCTCATGCCGTCTTCGGGCCCTCTTGGATGCCTCTTGGGCCGTCTTGGGTTGGTCTTGGGGGCCTCTGGGGCCGCCGTGGAGCGTCGGAAAGCAGAAATGGCGAGAACGCTTAAGTTCGTTAACAACCTGAGGGGCATCTATTAATTTGTGCCTCTTCGGGACCTCTTGGGAAGCCTCTCGGAGGTTTCTTGGGGCGTCTCGGAGGCCTATTGGGCCATCTCGAGGTTTGGCGTCTTTGAGCATTCCTTCGGCGACTTGAAGCCCTCTTGGACACATGGGAGGGTCAGGGACAGCGTCCACAGAAAGCGAAGGAAACACTTCAGAACTCACGCGAGTCACCATGGGCCGGCAAGGGCCAGCCCAAGAGCGCCTGGGGAATTTGGGATCCATGCCCCTGATAAAGTCGAATTTTGGCTGCAGAAACAGAATAGCTATGAGCCTTGGGGCACTCCACTTCGTGCCAGAGGCATGGTGGCGGATATATGACATGCCAGAGTACTGGGGCCAAGGCCCTGGGCCCAAGACACCTCCCCGGAAGTCCCTTCCACGTCACTTTGGACCGAGCGATATCAAGCCTGTCGCCCACTTTCCTTGCTTTGTGCGTTTGCTCATATTACTTCGTGGCTCGCTCGCACCAATGATGGCACGCCTCCTTCTGATCGCCAGCCTGGTCGGCTTCCGAGGCGCCTCCGGCCTGGCCTCTGCCAGCGACCCCGAGTCGAGGCAGAGGACTGCCCCAACAATGTCGCGGGACGAGTTCGGGAGGGCGTTCTTCACGCAGGGTTCCGTGCCTATCTACACCCACTCGGCTGGTCCACCACCTGGAGAACAGAAGTGGAAGCTCGTGCTTGAAACCGGTGCCACGGACGAACTACTGCAGCGTATTCAGCAGGAGCTCCATCCGACGGCGCAGCACACCCATCCAGACAAGGGCGAGATCCCTTTCGTTGAGGGGGATTTGACGGAAGATGAACTCAGGGCACTGTTGGATAGGTACCAGGGGAGTGTGAAGTTTGCTGAGCTGGACTCGTACTCCAGAAAGATCACGGAGCACATCGATTCATACGACGGTCCGACGGAGCGGCGGTCCTACCCGTGGGGCATCCAGTCCATCAACGCGGACGTGGTGCGGGGGCGGGGCGTGGGGGTGAATGTATACGTGCTTGACACTGGCATTCGCACAACCCACGTCAGTTTCGGTGGCCGCGCCTTCGCAGGGGTGGACGTGGCGACCACGGGGACTCTGTCGGTGTGCGCGTCGGGCAGCACAACGTGTGCTGGAGACAACAATGGCCACGGTACACATTGCGCGGGTGTCGTTGGGGCCGCGACATACGGCGTCGCAGATGGCGTTACCCTCTGGGCAATGAAGGTCCTCGATGACGCTGGCTACGGCTATGACTCATGGACCATTCTGGCCGAGCAGTGGGTTCTGTCCTCTGGCCTAAGACCAGCAGTGCTCAGTGTGAGTATCGGGGGTCCTATTGGCAGCCTGGCAGAGAAGGCCTCGGTCGACGCGCTGGTGGCCGCTGGCGTGACGGTGGTGGTGGCTGCAGGGAACCAGAACTTAGACGCGTGCAACTACAATCCGGCTTTCATCCCGTCGGCAATCACTGTTGGCTCTTACGGCGGGGTTTGGGGTTCGTCATCGGACATGTCCGATTTCAGCAATTACGGCTCCTGCATCGATGTCTGGGCTCCGGGCTCTTACATTCTCTCGACGTATCACCTCAGCGACACCTCGTTGGCTACTGGTTCTGGCACGTCCATGGCCTGTCCGCACGTCTCTGGGCTCGCGGCCATCATGTACGAGGCGTACCCGTCAGCGGGATCCCTGACTGCTTCAGCAAGGTGGGATCTCCTGGCAGCCACGAACCGCACTGGTTGGGTCACTGGCCTCCCCACGACCCCCGCCTCTGTCAACCTGGTGGCGTTGGCACCAACACTCAGCCCGACGCCGTCCCCAACGCCTGCCGCGGCGACTCCTTTTCCAACGCCTGCCGCGACGGCATTGGGAGTCTCCGCCACAGGGGATCCGCACCTGCAAAATGTTTATGGCGAGCGGTTCGATCTGATGAAGCCGGGCAAGCATGTTTTGATAAATATCCCTCGAGGAGAGACCTCCCAAGCATCGTTGCTTCGCGTGCAGGCCACTTCGCAAGGCTTGGGTAGTCGATGTGCGGATCTGTATTTCCAAGAACTGAACATTACAGGGGCATGGGCGGAGGCGAGTGCGCACAAAGTGGGTGGCTTGCGCTATCTTGCCACTGACGTCGGCGGGCAACCGGCCCACTGGGTGCACTTTGGGCCCGTTCAGTTGAAGGTCGCCCACGGGCGCACGCTGCATGGTGTGAATTACCTGAACCTGTATGTCAAGAACCTTGCCCGCGCTGGCCACGACGTCGGCGGTCTACTAGGAGAAGATGACCATTCCGAGGAGGAGACCCCCCCAGAGTCTTGCGCGCACCGCCTGGCGTGGTCCATCTGATCGAATATGTTCAGTCCGCCGATGTGTTCCCCGCGGGACGGCGCAGTGCGGCGGCACAGCGACTGCGATGGCCTGCGCCGCTGGATGTGCACCGCGTGCAGCTGAGGGCGCTGCAAGGCTTTGGCTGCCCGCGTCCTTTTGGCACCTCCGTTTTATAGTTGAATGAAAAAGCAGCCCCCCTGGGGGGCTTCTGGCCCCTCCCCCCCGGGCCGCCCTGGTCGCCCAAAGCACCTTCTGGGGATCACTGGTACAGTCAACGCGCATAGTAAGGACAAACCATTTTTATCAAGGGTACCCTTGGGTCCTTGCCTGCCTCAGCATCTGCGGCCCGTCCCTAGCAATTTTCGCAGGCCAGAATACTTCAACTTCGGCCTCCAAGGGTCCTGCGTCCTTACCACGCGTCCCTACTATACGTTTTCACTGTAAACGACGAGAGCGGCGCAACAGGGCCCAAGACGCCCCGAGATTGCTTTCAGACGGTCCAAGAGACCCCAAAGATATCGCAAGAAGGCTCCTGAGATACTCCCCGAGAGGGCCCCAGGAGGCCCCAGTTGTACCATTCCAGCAGCGTCCAAGACGGCCCAAGTGGCCGCCAATTTTCGCCCCAAGACGGCCCAAGGGGCCCCCAAGAGAGCCACAGGACTGCGGGCAGTACTTATATCCATATCCAGAGCGTCGTGGACTTTTTGGGAAGAGGTGCCGCAACGCAGAGGCGCACTGGATATGGATAAAATCAAGCCTCTTGGGGCCAGATTTTTATCCATATCCAGTGCGTCTACGGTTTCTGGGGAAGAGAGCCCAAGAATCCAAGACGCACTGGATGTGGATATAACTATTGCCCGCATGGACGGCCCAGGAGAACCCCAAGATGATCCAAGAGGCGCCCAGGATGGTCCAACGGGTTCCCACTAGGCCGACAGCAGGCCCCCCCAGAGGCCCCCTGAGGGCCCTCAAAGGGGAGGGGGAGGGGGAGGGGGAGGGGGAGGGGGAGGAGGAGGGGGAGGGGGAGGGGGAGCAGGAGGAGGAGGAGGAGGAGGAGGAGGAGGATGAGGAGGAGGAGGAGGAGGAGGAGGAGGAGGAGGAGGAGAGGCGGGCCCCCAAAACGGCCCTCAAGAGGCCTCCCCAGAAGATTTAAGACTCGTTCTACGAGGCGCCCGGGAAGCATGCCAGGAGACCGCGAACTACAGGCATCCAAGAAGCCCCTGGCCCAAAACTCGGGCATGGTAGCGGTATGGGCAGAAGACCGCGGATAAGCAGGCAATTGGCTTGGCAACGAACCCATCCCCATGCAGTCATGTGTAGCGCAAGGCGCCGGTCTCTCTTCATACTTGCACCGCGCACCGCGGCGCAATGCGGGAAGCATATTGCTGCGGTGCACGCGCGCACGGGCGCGCTGAATTCTAAGTGGGGCACGATCCGCGTGAAGGGTGTGCCGAATAATTCGGATACCACCGCGCGAACGCGTCCACTCAAGCCGCAGGTGGAGCTCCTCTGGGCACGACCAGTGCGAGGCATGTTCCGAAAATGGCGGGGGGACGCCATGCGAAGCTGCCCATGGGTGCCATAGGTGGAGCTCCTTCTTGGACATGATTCGCGTAACGGGTGTGCCAACATGGGCGGGGCGGCGCTGCACGAACCTTGTCCCTGGGCCCGTAGGTGGTGCTCCTTGTGGGCACGATCCGCGTGATGGGCTGTGCCGCAATTGGCGGGGGTGCGCAGTGCGAACCCTGCCTCTGGGGCCGTAGGTGGAGATCCTTGTGGGTCACGGTCTTCGTGAGAGGTGTGCCGAAGCAGGCGGGGGGGGGCGGGATGCGGATCTTGCCTCTGGGACCGTCCGTGGAACTCCCTGCGAGCGACGATCCGTGTGAGAGGTGTGCCCAAGTGAACGGGGCGACGGTATGTAGCTTCTATCTGTTGCCGCAACTGCAGTTGTTTGCGGGGCACGATCCGCGCGAGGGCGTGCCACTATCCTTGTGAGGCCCGATTCCTGTGATGGGGTGTGCTGACATGGGCGGGGGGGGGCGTCAAGCCAAACCTGTCTCTGAGGCAGTCCGTGGAGCTCCCTGAAGGGCACGATCCGTGTGACACCATACGTCTTCCGACGCCGAGCACTTGAGACTACAGCCATAGCTTACAACAGTCTAAGCGTGCGCGATCTGGACGCTGTTGCGATTGAGGGCAGCGCGACATGTGCACTGTGGAGCGAGATGCCTTGTTGGTGCAGTCGGGTCTTGTTTGTCCATAGCGCGATCTGCAGCCGCAAGCCCCAACCTGGGCAACGACAGCCCTCACCCGGGATGCAGTTGCAGCCACGCCAGATCTTATATACCTAAACGATTACCCTTCAGGTGATGAGGAGGTTCGGGATGGGAGGAGGAACCAACGTCTCACTGGGGTTGGTGTGGTCGCGGGTGGAGGAAAGGTGCATCGTGATAGTGCTTCACCCTTGTGCTGCAACGCAAGTTGGCGCTCGAGGCAATCAGCTCAGAGACCACAGCGGCCCAGACTGCCCCAAACAGAACAAAACGTCTAAGCGTGCGCGAAGCGCGAGCGTAGGTCTAGTTGCAAGATGTATGACAACAGAAGCAGCGTGGTCTCCAGGATGTTCAATACTGCAGACGGAGCTTTTTGCGTGCTCCTCGTATCCAACCACCTCATTTCTGACAGCGTGGAAATGTTTGCAAACCTTTGGGAACGCTCCGAAAACAGCCGGACAAGTCAGAGCATATGGAGACAGTGGGCAGCCCGACATCTCGGACAATCTCAGAGGAACATCACGGGTGAGTTACTCGCCCTCCGTCGGTGGACCACCTGGCCCCTGGCCATGCCCACTGGGACCTACGATCGTGCGTCAAGCTGCTCCTTCTTCAGGGTTGGTCGGGGGTGGACAGAAGCCCCAACAGTGACACGTCGATTAGTGAATTGTCCGTTTTCGGTTCTCGAGAGGGCGCCGTGGCCGTTATTTTCCAGGCTCGCGCCCACCAGGTTTGGGCCTCAGGTCGTTTTTACTAAACCACATTTTACTGAAGGGGGGTCTGTCCATCCCCGAGGGCGTCACACTTGATAGAACTGCGTGTTGCTTGAAAGCGACTTCGATGGTACAATCTATGAATGTTTTTGGGCAGCGAGCTCGGCTTCGTCAAATGGAGTGCGTGTGTTTGAGAGTCGAAGCCGACTTCAACAAATACGCAGTTATCCCAGACTCGCAACAGCCTCCCCCCACGCACGGCTCTGGGAAAATGTGTGGAACAGCAACACAGAAGCCCGTGCAGTGACGCCTCTGGTGTGCCCCTCCAGTCCTCCGCGCTCCCCTTTACCTTGTTGTGCGCCCCCCAGTGCGTCGTCGGCCCGGTGACCTCTCCACCGACGCCGCCTTTCTTCGTGCCGTGGACCCGCAGCCCCTCTCCCAGCGTCGTTCTCGTCCCGAGCCGGCTTCGACGGCCCCCGTGGCCAGGCTGCGGCCCCCAGAGCCCCCGAGCGCAGGGCAGAGAGGGCCTTCGCGCCTCCGTGGGCGTGACGCCCGGATCTGAGAGTCTCATCCCCTCCTCCTCCTCTTCCTCTTTTTCTTCCTCCTCCCCTTCCTCCTCCTCCTCCTCCTCCTCCTCCTCCTCGTCCTCGTCCTCCTCCTCCTCCTCCTCCTCCTCCTCCTCCTCCTCCTCCTCGAACTCTTCCTCCTCCCCCTCCCCCTTCCCCTCCTCCTCCTCCTCCCTCCTCCTCCTCCTCCTCTCTAACTCTTCCCCCTCCCCCTCCACCTTCCCCTCCTCCTCCTCCTCCTCCTCCCTTTCCCCTCCTCCTCTCCTCCTCCTCCTCCTCCCCTCCTTCCTCCTCCTCCTCCTCCTTCTCCGCCTCCTCCTCCTCCTCCTCCTCCTCCTCCTCTTTCTCCCCTCCTGGAGGATCCGTGTGCCTCTCGGACGAGGCCAGGACGAGGATTAGTCTGTCTCAAAGTGTTCAGGAACGCTCTCAGAGCTTTCCAGAACGCTCTGAGAAGGCCGCGGCGCCCGAAACCTCCTCCGGAGCCGCCGCATCTGTGAGAGTCTCGATCTGTTCTCACCCGACGTGGTCCTCGTCCTGGCTTCGTCGTGCCCTCCTGCCAGTACTACCGCGACTCGAAGATCGGCACCATCTACGAAGGAGACGCCCGGCCGCGGCTGCCCCTGCGAGATTCGCCGCCCTCCCCGGAGCGCCAGCGAGGCTCCTGGGCTCGGGTTCCCCACTCCCGTGCTGGCGTCGGCCTCCTCCTCCTCCTCCTCCTCCTCCTCCTCCTCCTCCTCCTCCTCCCTTTCCCCACGGTCGGCTTGCGTAGTGTCGACTGGCGGCGACCCCGCCGACGTCGTTCCGCTTGGAACGCCGCTGGCGACCCAGGTTCGGGGGTGGACAGACCTCCTACCCTGACACGTCGATTAAGGAATTGGCCGTTTTCGGCTCGCGAGAGGGCGTCGCGGCCGTCATTTTCGCGGGTCCAGGTCCGTCGGTTTCGGTCCCAGGCTGTTTTCACTAAGGGTCGGTCTACTATAGGGAGGTTTGTCCACCGCCGACAGGTCCGTTCGTTGTTGAACGGTCTGGCGTTCAAGAAATGGCCGATCGTTCAACATTGAACGACCCCCAGGGTGTCAGAAACCAGCGCCGAAGTTGGCACGACACCAACCTGCCGCACACGCTTGTCGTTGAAAGTAGGTATTCTTGACGCTTCGCGTATCGCGTATCCACACCAGAACATCCAGAAACAGATCGCCAGGCGAGTTGCCTTGATCAGGCAAATGTGGAAGCATGCAGTGTAACAACCGCCTTTGAAGTGCCTTCTCGGAGGTCTCTGCCTTGGAAGTGTTTTCTCGGAGGTCTCTTGGTGCCGTCTTGATTCTCTTTTTGGGTTCTCGCGGAGCTACTTGGGGCACTCTTGGGGCCCTCTTGGGGCTCTCTTGGAAGAGCCCGAGCAAATACATGGGATTCTTTAACTTGCCTCCCCCCACGGAATCCCCCCAAAATCGCCTCTTGGGCCCCTCTTGAAGCGCTCTTGGGGCGCTCTTGGGCGCTCTTGGGGCTGTCTTGGGGCTCTCTTGGGCGTCTCTTGGGGCCCTCTTGGGCTCTCTTGGAGCCATCGTGAGGCCTCCGAAGGCCATCGACAGCAAAAAGGCGAGAAGGCAACATTCATTGCTTCTCCTTAGGTTGTGGCCTCTCGGGGGCCTCTCGGGGGCTTTCGTGGAAGGCTCCGTGGCAACTTGGAGCCGTCTTGGAACGGTCTTGGGGCCTCTTAGAGCATCTTGGAAGCCATATCGAGCCAGCTTGGGCTATCTTGAGCCATATTGGAGGCCATTTTGGGCTCTCTGAGGCGCTCTTGGAGCCATCATCGGCCTGAAAGGACCCTCTGACACCTCGCGGGGCGCCCCGTCCAAGTCCAGTGGAGGGGGTAAGGGCAAGCTAGGTGCGCTCGCGCCATATTTGACGTCCTACCCCTCCCTCCTATCGCTTACCATGGCGTAGATCTCCTCTCTGTTCGCACAGTCGGATGTCGAGCAGGGCAATGGTCCCGAGAGGGTGCGCGATGCATCGTAAACCACGGCATAGCAGGGCGTAGAAGAGCACGGCAGAGCGTAGTATGTCATAGCATGGCGTGGCGTTGCGTAGTGAAGCATTGCATCACAAAGCATTTCACCGCAAGTAATGGCATCGCACAACGGCATAGAATAGAACATGACATAGCATGGCGTTGAAGATCAAAGCGTAGTATGGCATAGCAGGGCGTGGCGCTGCGTAGCCAAGCACTGCATGTCCTAGCATTGCAGCTGAAGGCGTGACATCGCACAGCGGAACACCACATAGCATTGCATTGCATGCCGTGGCATGGCACTGGAAATGATGACGCCAGCGCTGCAGCGGGAGCAAGATTCGGAACGAGCGGAAGTGCGGAAATGAGGTCAGCTCTGCAGCGGGAGCCCGATTCGAAACGAGCGGAAGCGCGGAAGTGAGGTCAGCGCTGCAGCGGGAGCACGATTCGGAACGAGCCGAAGCCCGAAAATGAGACCAGCGTTTCAGCGGGATCAGCGTTTTTGACAAAACCCAAGTGAAAACCCAACTCCGGGGGATCCTGTGTGTAAAAAAAGTGTGCGGAGGGGGGCCGAACATTTTCCGGACGTCATCAGGGGAGAGAGGAGAGTATTATTCATATTGTGTTATTGTGGAGGGGTAAACCCCTCCCCGAAGGGGAAGAAGGGAAGCTGGAAGAGGAAACGCGCTAAACCACTACGCCCAGAGGGCTGGTGGGATTTATGGAATCCCAGATCCCGGCCTATTTCAGGCGCCTTGCTCTTTGTTCCTTTTCCTTCGTCTTCAGGGGGCGGGTGGAAATCCAATCTACTTCCAGCGCCTTCTTACTTCATGGTTCTACCTACTTCTTCCGACCGACGAGTACGGAGTCACGCTCTCTCAGCTGCGCGTTTCAGGTGGCAGGCACGATCACGGCCGGCAAGGGTGAGCCACGATGCGGGTCACGGACCGTCGGGGGGCAGGGAGGGAACGAGGGAGGAGGGGAATGGAGGAAGAGGAGGATTCGCGGTCACCTGCGAACCCTGCCTCTACGCGTGCAATCGCCGCTGTAATCGGACACGCGCCCGTTGGGGTTCACACGGCTGCAGTCATCCTTCAGCTTCTGAACCCCAGCTGGTTCTGCAGAAGTCTGCCCTGCAGGGGCAGGGCCTGGTTCAGATGTGGTTGCTTGAAGGAGTGGACGGGAGGGAAGTGCGGAGGGGAGGGGAGAGCATGAGGCCGGGATGGGGATGTCGGGGGGGATAGGAGGCCACATGCGAACCCGACTCCTACCCCCCACGATTTCTGAGGGGGAGGGTGGGGTTCACTTCGTTCGGGAGCTCCCGAGCGAAGTGAACCCTGCCCTCCCCCTCAGAAATCGTGGGGGGTAGGGGTAGGGCTCGCATGTGGCCCCCTGGGGGAGGAGGGCATGCTCCCGCCATTCCCCATCCCTTCTTCCTTCCCTCCCGTGCTCTCTCCTGCCCCCCTCTCCCCTCCCGCCCTCTCCCCTCGTTTCTCTTCCTCCCTCCCATGCCATCCATGTCCTCCCGCCCTCTTGCGTGCCATCATGTCCGCGTCCCCTCCCCCATCCCCGAGGGCGGGGGGCGGGGACGAGGGGTTTGTGTGGTGGTGGACGTGCCACGATTCTCCTGCCTTCCCGCCTCCTCGCTCTTCCTTCTGCTGTTGCTGCCTACGGTTGTCCTAGAGAGCAAACTTGCAATTGGCATCATCATCCCTTTCGTCTTCCCTCCCTACCTTCCGCTCTCATCTCCTCCCCCCCTTCCCCAGGTCCACCGGGGAGGATGGAAGCGGGCAGGGGGTGGGCGCGGAGGAGACGGGAGATGATGGTGTTGCTGATGGTGATGATAGTGTTGTTGATGTTGCTGCTGGTGATGATGCTGCTGATGATGCTGCTGATGATGATGACGATGCTGATGATGAGGATGATGATGATGGTGGTGATGATGATGCTGAGGATCCTGCTGATGATGTTGATGATGACGATGATGCTGATGATGATGCTGATGGTGATGGTGAAGCTGATGATTATGATGATGATAAAGAGGATGCTGATGATGATGATGTTGATGATGCGGCTGATGATGATGATGATGATGATGATGATGATGATGATGATGATGATGATGATGATGATGATGATGATGATGAGGAGGAGGAGGAGGAGGAGGAGGAGGAGGATACTGGGGCGATGATCAGGGCAATGGTGGCGACGATGCCGATCGTGAAGATGAAGAGGCGGAGGAGGAGGAGGAGGAGGAGGAGGAGGAGGAGGAGGAGGAGGAGGAGAAGAAGTAGGATGAGGAGAACACGCAGGGGAAGCAGGATGGCAAAAAGAGCAGCAAGAGGAAGAGGAGGAGAAGTATGAAGAGGGGCTCCTCCCTCCTCCCTCCTCCCTTGTGCCTCATCGCTCTACTGTCACGCATCCTCCTGGTGGTGGTCTTTGTGCAGGGCGGTGCAGAGACGCTGCCCAGAGGAACCAGCAACATCCAGCTTGCCACCATCGCGAAGGAGCTCCGGCGAGGCTACGACCGCTAGGATCCTATCCTGCTTCCCCTGGCTTATTTTCCCTTCCCTTCAGTGCCCTCCCCTCCCAAACTTCCCTTTTTTGTCCCACCCTCCTCTCCTCCCTCCATCCCTCCCCTTCTCGAAGGATGGCAGGGGGAGGAGGAGGTGAAGGAGGAGAAGGAGGAGGAGGAGGAGGAGGAGGAGGAGGATAGGGGGGAGGAGACAAGGATGAGGGGGAGGGATCGTTGAGCAGGCCGGCCGGCCGTACACAGCGAGGCGATGATGTCAATGCTGCTGAACATGCTGCTGCTGATGATGCTGGTGATGATGATGATGATGATGATGATGATGATGGTGCTGTTGCTGGTGATGATGCTGCTGATGCTGATGATGCTGGTGCTGATGATGACGATGCTGCTGATGATATTAATGTTGATGCTGACGATGCTGATGCTGCTGATGATGATGCTGTTGATGCTGCTGATGCTGATGATTATACTGCTGCTGATGATGATAACGACGATTATGAGTATGCTGATGATGCTGATCAGGATGCGGTTGCTGCGGCTGCTGATGATGCTGCTGATGATGCTGCTGCTGATGATGATGCTGATTATGATGATGATGATGATGATGATGATGATGATGATGATGATGATGATGATGATGATGATGATGCTGATGCTGATGATGATGATGGTGATGGTGCTGATGCTGATGCGGATGCTGATGATGAAGCTGATGTTGATGCTGATGCTGATGTTGATGCTGCTGATGATGAGGAGGAGGAGGAAGAGGAGGTGGAAGAGGTGGAGGAGTTGGAGGAGGAGGCGGAGGAGGAGGAGGACGACGCAGACGAGGAGGAGGTGGAGGAGGAGGAGGAGGAGGCTCTTTTCTGACTACATGGGGGATGCCCCCCCTCTCCGCATAGCTCCGCACGCGTCTCCTCGACGCGAAGCCGCGCCGTCGGCCAGGCACGGCGGGGAGAAGGAGGAGGAAGGGGAGGGGGCGGGAGAGGGGGAGCGCAAGGGGGAGGAGGAGGAGGAGGAGGAGGAGGAGGAGGAGGAGAGGAGGAGGAGGAGGAGGAGGAGGAGGAGGAGGAGAAGGAGGAGGAGGAGAAGTAGGAGGGAGGAGGGAGGAGGGAGGAGGGAGGAGGGACGAGGAGGAGGAGGAGGAGGAGGAGGAGGAGGAGGTGGTGGCTGGCCTGAGGCGGGTTCAAAATCAGAAATCGAGATCGCTCTCAGAGGCGTCGGGCTCCGCACCACTGCCCCTACCAGCGTCCCGCAGCGAACTCTCCCCCAGGGCCCTCACCCTTGGAAGGTCAGCTCCCTCGATGCCGGAGGAGGCCAGCACCGACGACTTAGAAGCAACGCCTGGGACCCAAACAACGCCAGACTCCGAAACATGAGGAACATGGAGGGGCCTTCATACCAATCTCTCGATCGCCGCTCTCTCCTGCAAACTCAACCGACACGGCGAGCCGAACACGAGAGATTTGGTGGAGGCCCGATCGTGAGGATGCTTTCCCCTGCGCGCTCTACTCATCTGACTCCTGATGCCTGGGCTCGCGGGGCGGCCTTTGCACCTCTCCTTCATTTCAAAGGTCCAGGCCTGTTGTCCGACCCGCAAGTCCCACAACGGATACAGAACACGATGGACGCACCTTCACGCGAGGGAGCCCCGATCTCACACTTGACTAGGCCATGCCCGGAGGCATACAAGGACGATGACAGCTGCTCAGCCCGTTCTTCCTGGCCCGCCTCCCCCACCTCGACCGCCGACGGCGGGTCCACGACAACCTCCTCCTCCTCCTCCTCCTCCTCCTCCTCCTCCTCCTCCTCCTCCTCCTCCTCCTCCTCGGGCGGGGGCTCGGCAGCATCGAGCCTTTCGTCACTCGCTCGGACAGCACGGTCGCATGCGGACGCGGGCGGCACACCTGGCGGCGTTAGGCCGACCGTGTCCTGCCGATCGGTCGACCGATGGGAGAGGACGACCAGTCTACCTCTCCACTTGCAAGACTCCGCAGCCAGCGCCTCGAAGCCTCGAAAAGGATTGGCACCGTCATCTGTCAGCCCGTGCATCGCGGCCTCAGCTTCGGCATACGTGTCGGCACTCTGGTTGGCCTTGCGCTCCCACCACGTGGATCTCCCTACCTCAACGTCATCCTCCGACGCGAGGGCGAGAGTTTTGTGGGCTCTGAGGTCGGAGGCTCCGGAGTTCCCCCAAAAGGGATCCCACATGTGCGCCTTGGCCGAAGCGAAGCAGCATCGACTCCTGAACCTGGGTTCCTGCCGAGAGAATCCCGAGCGTCGACTGACAATCAAGATACAACTCGAAGGGCCCCATGCTTAGAAACGCAAGCAGGTGTATGGCACGATCCTCTCCATCTTTTGCGGTCTGGCGAGGCCCCGACTTACATGGCACGGGCCCATACGCAGCATGTAGCACATTCCCGAGCCTGTCAGCCTGGACCTGGGCCCACCCAGCTCGACTGACACCTGGAAGCCTTGACCAAAAAGCCGAACCGTCACTGAGCATCACATTGTTAGTCTGTCCCGAGGAAGGCTTGTTGACCCACCTGACTTGGACCTCGGGCTCCCCGCGGGGGAAGAATTCCAAGGGAGATTGAAAGACCCTCTCGCGAAACGCTCCGCCACCTCCCGACTTCCCGCCCCGACGCGCCTCGCTCCCTCGGCCAGCTAGGGGGAGACCTCATCTCTCCGCAACGCCTGGTGAGCCCCACATTCGCACTGTCGATGCCACAGAGTAACCTCGCTAGCCATGCACAGCCTACACCAGCTCGAGCCGCGCAGGCTGTGTCCGTGCACGCGCGACTGAGGCCCGTGGACACTGCACAGTGGCGAGCGGACGGCTCCCGGGTGGTGCAGCGTCCAGTCCTGCGGCTTATTCCGGAGGACCGCGCGCACCCCGTGCCAAAAAAAAATTGCCAGCTCGGGTCTCGGTTGGGTCCTGACGTCCCCAGCCCCCCTGACTGGTCTAGGGCAAGCCTGTCTGACGCCTTCAGGGCCCCCTCCTGAACAAGTTCTTACCATTCACGGCAAGCTGGTTCAAGTTCCACCCGGATCCCAGATCACCCCTGAGCGTGGAAAAACAACACAAAGTTTCAGCTTGTGCGCTCTGCTGTCAACACCGCCACGTCCGCGGGTGACGAGGCTACCCTCCAATGATGTCGGACTCCAGCCATCTTTTCGATCGCCGCGTCCATAGAATCCCCGAGGATGACAGGACTAGGAAAGCTGTTCCAGAATGCCTGGTACAACATGTGAGCAGTGCTGGCCACTAGGGGGTCCGCCAGAGCCCCTAGCCGAAAGGAGTGAATCCGAATTCCCAATGAGAAGCCCCTGGGGAGACGACTTAGAGCCTGGGCCGCTGACAGCCGCAATGCATGCAGCACTGACGTCGGGACTCCTGTGACGCTACTTCCCCACAGTGCCGCCGCTGTGGCTCCTGTGCGGTGGATGAGGCCTACTTCAGCCCCCGCGCCACGCACAACCTGGATCCTCCTGGAGCGCTCTTTGGCCGGTGCAAACCCACTGCGAGCTATGCCAACTCTCCTGCGGGCCCCTAGGGACGCGTCCGTGCCGAGACTTCTCGCCGAACCGACCCGAGAGAGTACAGTCGGGGCCCTGAAGAAGGAACCCTTTCCGTTGGGGAGGGGCTCCGCGTTCCTTCGGTGTTTCGCAGCTTGCCTCTGGTGTTCCTTATGTTTTCGATCGGAAATCGAAGTTTAACTTATGGAAGAAAGGGGCCTCGTTCCTTCTTTTGGGTTCCTTAGGTCAAGGCCCCGACTGTCCTGGGGCCCTCCACTTGCTGTTGATAAGCTCGTCAACGACCTTGCTGCAGAGGTACTCAAATCTCATGCGCAGCCACAGGCAGGCTCATGCGTTCGAAGTCGGATGACAACGATTCCGCTCCCTCGGCCAGTGTGGTGCAACCTGCGCCTGCCCGCCACAGGCCTGCAGCGCAGTGTCGTCAACGACGTCCCTGACGCACCGCTGTGGGCGCCCAGCGCGAGCTCTGAAAAGAAGCTGGAGGAGAAGCCGCTTAGCTAGGCAGGGCGCTCCACTGCAGCCGGCGATAACCGTGCCATTCGCCCCGATCACTCTCGACACCGCCCCCCCGTGCATGAGCGCCCTCGGCCCCGCGCACATGGTGCGCAGACCCCGAAGGAGACGGGTCGGGAAGTTACAAACTGATGGCAGCTTCGTGGAGGCACTCGTGCGAGATGTGCTCATAGAATCTCGAGAGGTCGAGCAGTGCCGATCCTCTTTCGAAGCCGACGCCCTTGCAGAAACTCCCCAACAGGGTGGGCCCACCCCGCTCTTTCGCGCGTGGTATTGCTGTTCGCTCCCCAGTAGATGGTCTCTGCATTATGCCCCTCCCACTGCTTGAAGAGTGGCTGCCGCGCGCGCGACCGCAGCCGCGCGACAAACGCCCACGAGCCGATGGGGCACCGCCCCCCGAGCTCGAGTGCGCCGTCGGCCGCATTCGCGACTAGGTCTGCAAGCATGGAGGAGGGGAAGCGCTCGTCGCTGGTGGTTTTCAGCAACGGCGTCATGCCACGTAGCTTGTCACGCCAACGATTTGAAGGCTCTCGGCCTCGACGGCCCACCTTGCCTGCCGCGGAGTCTCGACAGCGACGCAGCAAAGTATAGAAAGCGACCCACTCGGTTCTGGAGGCCGAGAACCGTCCACTTTGATTCTTGTCCCAGAAAGCCCCCAGGGGTATTTAGCATGTTTTGGCCCCCCAGCTCGCCCCACGTAGTCAGCCGCCCCGAGGGCCTCCAAACCATTCATCTGGACCAGCCTCTCCTCGGCAAACGTAGACCACTGCTCGCGCATGCCGCCCAAGTCTACGACTCGCCCGCCGCCCTCCAATCGCATCCTGGGGTTCCCTGGGATGGGCCAAAAACGCCGTGCTGCAAAAAGCTTTAAAGCCGAGCTTGACGTGTAGTGGCCGCCGTGTGCGACGCGCCCTGCAGTTCCAGCGAGACAGGCGAATGGCTTGGCATCGCTCGGACGTGTGCATTTTTCCTTCGGCGAGGACCATCGAGGAGCATCCTTGATCATTTGGAGACAAAACCGCGCACGAAACCGAACACAACACAGGAAATGGACGTCCGAGCGATGGCCAGATGGGGGCACAGAAAGGGGCTCCACCGAGGGCTCTCGCCTGCTGGGCTCTCCAGACCAGACACTCCGCAACCACAGAGAGACGTCGAGCGTGCGTCCACCTCCAGTTGCACCTACAGCCTCCGTGGCCCCGTTGTCGGAGACATCCGGGACAGGTGCAGGCATCGACTCGTCCAGCGGGACCCTTCCAACCTCGACGCCCGCGCACGTGGCCCGAGTGGGGGGCGACAGCTTCTCCTCTCACCGACGGGGGCCACTCCGAGGGTGACGAGTCCGACGGCGCGAAGTTGAAGCCGCCGTGAATAGTCCGCGGACGCAGCGGCCCAGGGAGACACCCGCCAACGTGTTCCATCAGCGACGCGTTCGGCCCCGCCAGCTCTGGACACGTGAGGAAGTGAACGGAAACGATGGGCAGGCCTTGTGGGGGCCCGACATTGACCAGCTGAACGACGATGCGACTCTTGCAGCCGTTCAACTCCATGGGGCTCGACGGAGTGGACGCTAGGTGGTCTCCTACGCACGCTGCTACGCCTGAAGAACTCTGCATTGGACCTGGCCCTGTCGAAAGTGCAGCATCAAAGGCAGGCCTCAGATGCCGCTTCGCACACCAACCAGAAGCAGAGATCATCTTGCCGGTCGCCTTGAGCCTGGTCTCCTGGGCGCACGCCACGCCTGGTTGCTTGCTGCCCACGACCGTGTTGTCGGCTACCCACTCCAGGACGGTCTCCGCCGTGCCCCACGGATTGTCGTTGAGGCCGAGGAATGTGGGCGATGTCGGCAGCTTCTGACGCTCCACTTTGGCACCGACACGCCCCGCATCTCTAGGCCGAGGCTTGTCTGGCCCTGGCTCTGCACAAGGCCGCGCAGTCGCAGCGACCACCTTTGCCTTCGCATCGGATGGTGCCGCCAGGCCCCTGCGCTCCTCCTCGGCATCGCCAGGCCCAGCCACGCCAGGTCGCAGCCCGCCAGATCGGAGCACGAGTCGAGCCTGGCCAAGGCCGTCGCCCACGAGGGGCGGCGGCGGCACCTTGCCGCCAGGCAGAGGCGGGGCACCTGTCCCCAGTCCAGAGGAATGCACGTCTTTGGCCACCTGGGAGAAATAAGTGAGCACCCCCTCGCGCTAGCCCTCCGTGACCATGAGTTGCGCGATCGGGAGAAGAAGCCAGACCCCTGCGCTCTTCCATGGAAGCGCCGCGCCCAGCCACGCCAGGTCGCAGCCCTCCACGTCCAAACGTAGGGCAAGCCTGCCCAAGGCCATCGCTCCCGTGGAGCGACGGCTGCCCCGCCTTGAAAGCTGATGGCGTTGAAGTGCTGGCCCTCGCCGTAGCACTTGTCCCCGGCCCAGAGGAATGCACATCCCTGACCACCAGGGGAAGTCAACATCCAGCTCCTCGAGCTGGGCTTTCCTGACTTTGCTTGTCGGGACTGCATCGAGCTCCGCGTGGGTGGGGGGGGAGAGGGCGTCGGCGCGGCCAACGCGGCCGAGCCGACCTGCGCGCCGTCGGTCGCTCTGGGCAAGTTGCCGGAGGCTGCCCGCAACTCCCTGTGGTAGTCCATGCGGGGAACCCGGCTGCTACCAGTCGTCGCGGAACCTGGAGTACACGCGGCCCACGGCCCACATGCTGGGCTGCCCGACTTCCAGCGACTCCCCCCTGGGCGCACGTGGGGTCTCCACTTTCTTCGGTCGGGCGAGTGCACGCGAGGAAGCAGCCGCCCACGGCCTGCTTCTCCAGGGCGACGATGGGGGCCTCGCTGGCCGCTTCGCTGGCACACCGAAGCCCAGCTCAGGCCGCTTCAAGTCCACGACTTTGGAGCTCCAGAAGGCCAGCGTGTCGGCCATGCCTCGGTCGTCTCCGCGCCGAGCCTCGTCACATTCGCCGCCGTGTGCGGTTGATCCCCAGCGCCGCCGCAGCCTGGGCATACTTGCGCTTGGCATCCTCACGGTTCCCCGCTGCAGCGTTGCGAAGCGCCTCGCTTGCTGCCTTGAAGGCGGCTTGCTTGGCCTTGAAGTCGTCGCCGAGCAGATCGAGGTCGATGTCGTCACCTTCCTCAGCATCAACGGGAATGTCGACGCCGTCATCGCCGCCAGCAGCAGAAATACCACCGCCGCTCCCATCTGCTACCGCCTGGATCTCTGCCTCGGCCTTCGCCGCAGCACACGCAGGCATGGAGGTGCAGCTGCTGGAGCACCTGGAGGGCCTCCTTGCCACGCTGGGAGTCCAGCATCTTCTGGTCCAGTCCCGCAGTGAGGGCCACCACTGGGTCTCAAACTCACCTGCCTGGGTCTTCGCCAGCGACGCCATGGCAGTGTCGAGCTCGGCCTCCACAGCGGTGATGGTATCGTTGACCTCGAGGAGCTCGTTGCCGAGCTGTGCCTTCTGCAGCACGATGGCCTCGGACCTGTCCTGGGCCTTTGCAAGTTCTTCTAGCGGTTCTCCACCTTCCAGCGCAGTGATTGCGCTGACGCCAGCTTGGCGGCCTGCTCCTTGACCTTGGCCTCAGCAGCCGCTTCGATAGCCGCTTCGATTTCACTCGAGTCCAAGCCTAGCTTCCTGAGGAACCCGGCCACCGCCTGGAACGTGAGCTCGCCGCTTGCCGCTGGACGCAGCGCCCTGGCCAGGCGACTTGCCAGGCTGGCCGCCCCTGTCCTTCGTCTTGTCGCTGCTCTTACTCTGCCAGGGGGGCGTCGCCAGTGCTTCTTCGCCCGTGAGCTGCGCCATCTTGACCCTGAGCTCATGCCGCATGCGCAACTGTGCCGCTCCGCCCATGATCGAAGGTGGCGGGCCTTGGGACCAGGATCCTCTCGCTCCTCGCCCTTGAACAGCAGAGAAGGAGGGGCTCTTGAGGCTCGCCGCAGCCCGCTTCGCCGCCTGATCGATACTGGTCGCTGCCGCTTCCCCACACGTCTGGCACTTCACTCTTGATGCCCAGTTGTCCGCACCACCACAACTGCAACTCTACATGGGGGTATTCGGCCCCGGAAGAACGTCTGGTGGCGGCGCCATGGCCCGGAGGCTGGTGGGGCTGGCGCCGTCCTGAAACACGGAAATGATTTGGCTCGCGCCACTCGCCGCTTCGAGGTAAGTGGTCGCAATCTCGAGATTCGCTCAACCTAGCTCCAGCCGAATGGGCTAGGAAGAGGAGGATGCGGATGCGGAGGAGGAGGCGGAGGAGGAGGAGGAGGAGGAGGAGGAGGAGGAGGAGGAGGACGAGCAGGAGGAGGACGAGGAGGAGGAGCGGGAGCGCCCGAGCCCCCTCGGCCAGGACGGTGCGGCGCCGCGCCCCAGCGCACCGACGAGGTTGGCGCATGCATCCGCCCGGCGGTCGGCCGTGCGACGAGCGCGCTCCTCCAGGGGACCCCGTTCTGAGCCCGTTCGGCGTCCGAGTCCATTCCCAGATCTCCGCCGATGTCTTCCTGGACTTCGGCCGTTGGAGCCTGTTTTGGGGCCCCGGGGCCATCAAGAACGGATCCGGGATGTAAACCTAACCCCAGGGAAGGGGTCGCGTCCGACTTGGGGACGCGCATTCAAAATATGACATGGTCTGTCCGTGCGGTAGGGGTTGCGACACAATGTTGGCAATTATGGCCCGATACGCTGTCCGGCTTTCGCGAGTTCCCCGAGTCCCGGGCTATTGCATGTTTTTGCGTTCAGTGCCCTGCGGTCGGCGTCTGTCGCGGTGGGTGTTGAGGATAGCTCCATTGAGGGGCAGCGGATTCCTCTTTCTCCTCTCCTTGCTTGCCTTGTAGGAAAAAATCATGACATGGTCGGACCTGGGAGTCCATTCGGCCGCCGAAGGGGCAGCCGAGCGAGCTCATTTCCTAGAGGGCGGTGCGGATTGGACTCGTTCGGCCGCCGAGTGTGCTCGATCCTGAGTCTGCTCGTCGGCCGAGTGGGTTCAGACGCCGAACGGGCTCAAATAGGTACCCCCCCCCGGGGTCCCGATGTGGAGAGCAGGCCCAGATCGAGGACGTCCTGGATCTGGGGTCGCCCTCAGCAGCGGGGACCGTGCTGTGCGTCTTCCTCCGGTGGCTTCGGGGGAATCCGTCACTGTCTTCGGAGGGTTCCGATTGCTGTTGCAAGTTTTCGAAGGTTTTCGGGGCCGGCTCGCCTTCTTTCAGATGCGCCTCGCCGAGGGTGCTCCCGGGAACGGCCGCCGGAGGCCCGAGTCGTCGCCCGATTTGAAAGGACGCACGCGGAGGTTGCTCGCCGTTTTCGGCTTCCATGGGCCCTCGCTTGGGCTCTGGCGGGATGACGCGCCGGGGACAGGGCCAGGAATTCTGATGGTCCCGAGCTAGACGAGCCAAGACATATGATGTTCGAGCCTGGGGTTAGCAGCGAGGATCGAGGGTCGATGGTCAAGGGAGGAACGACTCTGTGATCCGTGCGTCGTAATTTTGTTCACGCATGGGCGCTGTCGTCCGTTTCCGGGTTCGGGGGCATTGGCGAATCGATACCGCTCGAGAAAGAGCATGCCGCAGAAGGTTTGTGTCTCGTGTTCTTTCTTGCATGCTGCCATACGCTTGTTCGCGGCGTCGGATCTCAGGGGAGATGGTGGAAAGACGGTCCCAGACACTTGCCGACTGCACACGACAGTGGCTGCGCGCGTTGCTATTTGGAAGCCTGGCTGCCTCCACAGCGGTAGCTGGTGCAGACGCCCAGTCGAGTTGCCTGGGCGCCCCCTTCTCTTGGCCTGCGCGATGTGATCCTGGGAGGCGTGGAAGCAGCCGCGCCCGTGCGCTGGGCCCCTCTCCCCCTCGCGCTTCTGCTGCCCCTCCCCGTGCTCCTCCGCGCGCTGCTGCTGCTGCTGCTGCTGCTGCTGCTGCTGCTGCTGCTGCTGCTGCTGCTGCTGCGGCCGCCCTCCCGCCCCCCCCCTGGTGCCCCTCCTGCGCCCCCGCGACGCAGGCGCGATGCCGAGCCCGATCCCATCCGACTGAGCTCCTCGTCTCCCCCTCCTCCCCCTCCTCCTCCTCCTCCTCCTCCTCCTCCTCCTCCTCCTCCTCCTCCTCCTCCTCCTCCTCCTCCTCCTCCTCCCTCCTCCTCCTCCTCCTCCTCCTCCTCCTCCTCCTCCTCCTCCTCCTCCTCCTCCCCCTCCTCCTCCTCCGCCTCCTCCTCCTCCTCCTCCTCTTCCTCCTCCTCCTCCTCCTCCTCCTCCTCCTCCTCCTCCTCCTCCTCCTCTTGCCTCGAGGAGGCCGACGTCCCCCGAGGTGAAAAAGCTCGAGGGGAGGCCGCGATCCGAGCCTCGCCCAGAGGAGCCTGGCGAGCCAGACTCGGGTGCCGACGGCTTCGGCGGACGTCACGGACTGCTGGGCCTCAGGTCCGCCCCCCCCTCCCCTCGCACGGGGCTATAGGACGGGGCTCGGACGAGGGCGAATCCCTTCCAGAGCGCTGCGCAATGCCGAGCCCGATCCCATCCGACTGTGCTCCTCGTCTCCTCCTCCTCAGAGGAGTCTGGCGAGTCAGACTCGGATGCCGACGGCTTCGGCTGACATCACGGATTGCTTGGCCTCAGGTCCGCCCCCCCTCCCCTCGGACGGGGCTATAGGACGGGACTCGGACGAGGGCGAATCCCTCCCAGAGCGTCCCGGGACGCTCTCGGAGCGTTCCATGGAGCGCTGTGAGAAGGCACTGGCGCCCGAGACATCCTCCAGAGCCCCCCCCCTGGTAACCCCCTCCTGCGCCCCCGCGACGCAGGCGCAATGCCGAGCCCGATCCCATACGACTGCGCTCCTCATCTCCTCCTCCTCCTCCGCCTCCTCCTCCTCCGCCTCCTCCTCCTCCTCCTCCTCCGCCTCCTCCTCCTCCTCCTCCTCCGCCTCCTCCTCCTCCTCCTCTTGCCTCGAAGAGGCCGACGTCCCCCGAGGTGAAAACGTCGATGGGGAGGCCGCGATCCGAGCCTCGCCCAGAGGAGTCTGGCGAGCCAGACTCGGATGCCGACGGCTTCGGCTGACATCACTGACGAACGGACAACACACACCCATACCCATAGGGGGGTAGTTGGGAGGAGGACTGGCTATGGGTATGGGTGCGGGTTGTCGGACCCTGGGGAACGCTCCCGTTCGAGCGGGGACCCCCATCCGACAACACGCACCCATAGCCCTCTCCGATCCCCCTATGGGTATGGGTGTGTGTTGTTGGTTCGTCAATCACGGATTGCTGGGCCTCAGGTCCGCCCCCCCCCCTCCCCTCGGACGGGGCTATAGGACGGGACTCGGACGAGGGTGAATCCCTCCCAGGGCGTTCCGGAACGCTCTCAGAGCGTTCCATAGAGCGCGTGGCTTCGGCGCCGCGTATTGGCGGGGCGAGACATGGGGACAGCGAGGGCTGCAGAAAAGGGGCCCTTCAGGGCCCCTGAAGGGGCCCTTTAGGGCCCCAAAGGGGCCTTCGGGGCCCGAGAAGTGCACCTTTCTCCCCCCCTTGACTTCTTCGCCCCCCACGAAGCGACGCCCAAGAGCTGGGAGGCTGGCGGAAGCGAAAATGGCTCCCCCCAAGAGATGCCAATTTGTGCATTGGGTCCAGGGGTTCCCAGAACCCGCCACGTGGCAGAAGTTTCGGCCCAGCTCGGCACAGTCTCCATGGTGCCGCCCGCAGTTCATTGCTGCTCTTGCATTGGGGGGCCAGCACTAGGGCCCACTGCGAAACACCTAGTTCTTATGGCAGGATGCAGCGTGCTACAGTGCATACGTGTGCTGTCGACGAACCACAACGTAAAGTTCTTGCTTCCGTTTTAGGGCGCGCGGTTGCAACAGCGGTCATGTTTTGGTGTATTGGTGACCAAACTTAATAGCATATCAACCAGCGAGCCAGCATAACGTCACATACATCACGCCGTAGCGCACACATGACGCAGAGGAGCAGCGCGAGGAACACCATCGTCAATATCATCAGCACCGTGCATGAAGAAGTGGCGAAAATATCGACCAGCAGTGCTTCCAGTTCAGTCGTACTAGCGGCTACAAAGATGTCGATCATGCCGATGAACACTGCAGCGGGAAATTGACAAGCAACTGGGGATCTAAGAGCCAGAGCAGGTATAGACCAGCCCGCTAACCTTCTTGACGGACGAACCAACACGTAACGTTTTTCGGCCTTCTCTGGTTGTCTTTTTCATGGTGTCTGTTTCTGTTGGCGGGGGGAGTGTGCCAGCTTCGGCCAAGTTTGGGGCCCCCGAGGGGGCCGGGAGCCCTTTAGCCCCCCGTTCTTCCGCGTTCCTGGGCGCCGCCGATGTCGAGAATCTCCCGCGCCCGGCCTGGCCTGGTTCGGTCTCGGCACAGGCACGACTGCACCGCCCCGCCCGAACGCGCCAGCGCCACGGTCAGGCAGCTAGGTGAGAGAGAGAGTCGCGGAGCGGTCCCCCCCGCCATCCGTGTGGACCCCCGACCCTACGTATGTACGGTTGTCTTGATACAGTGATCCTCTCCATCGTCCCCCTCCCTCCTTCTGTTTGGCGAGCGCTCGGGCGCTCAGCTGGCTCCCGGCTCCTGGGCCAACGGTGCACAAACGCGCCAGGCGAGGCAGCAGCATGCGCCTGTTTTCGCCGCCGAAACACTGATCCTCCTCCTCCTCGTTCTCCTCCACCTTCTCCTGTTCCTTCTGCTCCTCCTCATCCGTCACCTTTTTCTCCTCCTCCTCCTCCTCCTCCTCCTCCTCCTCCTCCTCCTCCTCCTCCTCCTCCTCCTTCCTTCCTCCCCCTCCTGCGTGGGGAGGCCGCTACCTCAGCGCCTGCAGCCTTCCAGGCCGCTGCCACAAGACTGCAACGGGGCAGAGTGGTGCAGCAGCGCTGGCGCACCCAGGATTTTCCCGGACCCAGTGATCCAGGGTCTTGTTTGTTTCCCACATATTGGGTCCCCGGACGTCTCGACCCTTCTCCTGAGCCTAGATCATTGCACACCAGATCTTTCGGTCGCGATCGGTAGCGACTCATCGGCACTCCACAAACGGTCGCGACCAATTTTGAAGCAAACCGGTCGCGACCGATACCAGAATTCCCAGCCACACCGATAACGTCAGTTTTTGATCAATAAGCGATCCCCCAGCCCCCCCAGCGCTGATGAATCTACCACGCGCGGCGCGAAACTAATTCTCAACTCGCTCGCGCCAGGGCTCGGGGTGCCACCGCGCCACGGATGAGGGCACACGACATGAACGACGCGCCGCTTCCGAGGGGGCGGCGCGCCCGCACAGTGCAGCACAGAACGTGTGTGAGCGTTGCGCGTGTGAATCTGTGCCTTGTCTCCGCAGACAGCATCTATACACCACCACCGTGGTTGGCCAGGGCCAACCTGGGCCCTGGCATGTTGTATACGCCCTGCTGGCCGATGCCAGCAGGGCGTATACACCATTGTGGAGCTCAGGGTGGCCCTGGCCAGGCACGGTTGTGGTGTATGGATGCCTTCTGTGCCGTGTCCCAAGAGCAAGCGACCTCGTTCGTTCGTGGGCCCTGCAGTGCGCGCTGCCCGCTGCGTTGGGCTCATGGGCGTGCGCCGCTCGAGGCTCGAGGTTTTGTTGGGGCCCTGGTTCGTTTGCTCGTCCCGCCGGCGTTTCCCGAGTGGTCGCCGTCGCGGCTTTTCCCCTGGCGCGTGGCTGGTGCTAGACGCCAGCCTGACCTATCCTAGAAGTTCTTGTTGACATAGTTTCCCCGCCCCATTTCCAGGAGGGACATGGGCCCTAGAAGGATTTCGCCGTTTCAGGGCCTTCGGCGGGCCCCGAGGCAGCCGAACAACAACAAAGGATGACGAGCTGGTCGCGGCGGGAAGTCCAGGGTCCAGGGCCCGCTTCCGTCAAGGCCCGTGTCCGTCGCTGCGAGGGAAGTTCTGGCGCCAGGGCGGCGGATTGGCTGCCTGGCAGCTCCGCAGGGAGACCCCGCGAGCAGAGCAGGGACACGACTGTGGCGGCGGGGGGGGGGCGGGGCGACCTCAGCGGCGGCGACGGCCCTTGCCTTTGCCGCCCCTTCCTGCGCCTGTCGCCCTCTCGCTGGCGGCTGGGTGAAATCTCTGGCGCCGCCGTGGTGCGCTTCCATCTGGCGGGCGCCCCCCCCCGCGACGAGTCGGCCGAGCTGGGGGACATTTGTTTCGTCGCGCGCCCGGCCCGTCCCCAGCAGCCACAAGCCGGCATTCGCGACTGCTCTCACGGGCCGCGGCCAGAGGAACAAATGCAGCCATTGGTGAGGGCGCGGGGTTTTACGGTCCCCGTCGGCTTTGAGGGCCCCAGAGGCCGCAGGCGGCGAGAAGTTTCCGTCCCGGGGGCCGCGCAGCGTTGCCGACCTGGGCAGGATCGGGGGCGGAAAAGAGGGGGGTGATGATTAGGGGGGGTGGATCTCATGGCGTGGGCCATGATATTTCCCCAGATTTCATGGCGCCTCTTCTTATCTCATTACGCCCCTGGCCCCCGCGCTGGGCCGCGCACGTGCCGCCGGTCATGATTTGCACCCCCCCTCTTGGACACCCCCCTCTTGGCCGCTCTGGAAGATTTCCAGGTCGCGAGTTTGCCTGCGTTTTGACAATTTCGTGCTCGCGCCGAGAGTTTGTCTTGTCGCGGCAGACGAGTTCGGTCGCGACCGATGTTGCCTAAAATTTCGGTATCGGTGGCGACCGATATGCTACAACATCGGTCGCGACTGATCGGTGGCGGCCGATCCGTCGGGATCGGTCGTTACCGAATTCACAATCCGTCGCGGTCGGTCGCGACCGATTTGGCGATCCGGTCGGTCGTTATCGATCGCGACCGAACAAAACTGGTATCCAATGCTTGGGGCGGCGCATGACTTGCAACCTTTGACACACGCGAATCTTGACCTCTTCCCAGGGACCGGCTCTGTCATCCCGGGCTGGTCCCTCGGGGGGGGCCGCGTCGGGGGCCGGAAGCGCACAAAAACCTGCAAGCGCTGCTGCTGGGGTGCTGGGCCTCCCAGGTGTGGTCCGAGCAGGTGTGGTTCTCCACGCCGAGGGCGCCGACGCATCGTCGACGCATCGCTGACGCATCGCTGATGCATTGGCGATGCTTCGGCCATGCGGTGCGTTCCTCCGACCCCGTCTACTCGGACCCCATTCGGGGGGTTTCTAGGGGTGTTGGGCCAGGCAGCATTCGATGCGGCTGGGGGGCTGGGGGGTCTGAAGTGGCTGAGACCCCAAAACCGTTCAGAATGGGGGAAGGGTCCAAATCCGTTCGAAGTCGGCCCCCAGATTGCTCCCGGAGGCCATGCGGTGCAGTTTTTCACCCCAGATCCGTTTTTGTCGGCCCCAGGGCGGGAACATGGCCATTTGAGGACGAACAACAACAAAAAGTCACCCGAACCCAGGACCTCGAACCTGCGCGTCGTTCCTGTTGGCCGGAGCCAGTGCTCGGCCGCTTCAGGCCGCCGGAAGGCTCCAGAGGTAGCGGCCTCCCGCGAGGCATCGCGGCCGGAATGTTCCAGGCGCGTCTCGCGGGGCACCCGAGCGCTCTTCGTCACGGGCGGAAAAGGGCCACCCGGGCCCGACGGTTGGCGTTTGCGGAGCGGCCCAGGGCGTTTACTGAGCAGCCTCGCCCTCCTCTGCTTCCTCCTCTAGACGCCCTCGCGTGCCGGGGTGGTTCTTCTCGGGGCGGGTGCTCCGCCCTCTACGTCGGAGCCGCCGCCCGGCGGCGGGGCTCCCCTGGCCTCTGGTGGTCGGCGGGGGGGGGGGCTGGGCGCGCGGCGGCGACGACGCGGAGGCGCCCCCCCCCCCCGGTGCGGGCGGAAGGCTCTGGGCCTCTGTAGGCCTCCCCAGTGGGGCCGACGGGGCCCGAGTGGCTGGGGTCGGAGCAGCTCCGAGGTCGACGGGCGTCTTCGCTGGTCCGTGGGGCGTTTCCAGGCTCGGGCTGCTCTCCAGCAGCTGCGCCTCGCCGAGAGCGCCTCGGGGGCGCCCGGATCGTCGCGAGCGGGCGCCAGGAAGCTGAGGCAGGGCCCGAAAGCCCTCGAGGCCTCCTAGATGGGGTCGTGGATCGCGCCGCATCGCCGATGCATCGACAATGCGGCTTGATGTGGAGCCCGATTCTCTCCACTCCGACGACGTCTATGCGTCGCCGACGTCGCAGACGCATCGCCGATGCACCGGCGGTGCGTTGTTCTTGGTACGCGGGCGCGCGAAGCGGGTCGGACGCCGTGCAAGCAGGGGCAGGCCGTGCCACAAGCTAATGGAATAACAGAGAGGCGAGCAAAGCCATGCACAGAGCGGGACAGAGCTCAGCGCAGCCAAACTGGCGGACGGCATAAACTCGGCGATGCATCGGCGATGCGGCGCAATCCTCTGATCCCGTCCGCTCGGACCTCATTTGGGAGGCCTCTGAAGGCGGCGGGGCGCGCAACACCCAGAGCATGATGATGATGCTGCTGATGATGCTGCTGCTGATGATGATGATGATGCTGATGCTGATGTTGATGCTGATGATGATGACGATGCTGATGCCGATGATGCTGCTGATGATGATGATGCTGATGATGATGCTGATGATGATGATGCTGATGCTGATGCTGATGCTGATGATGATGATGATGATGATGATGATGGTGGTGGTGGTGATGAAAATGATGATGGTGATGATGATGATGATGATGATGATGATGATGATGATGATGATGCTGATTATGATGATGATGATGTTGATGATGATGATGATGATGATGATGATGCTGCTGCTGATGATGATGATGATGATGATGATGATGATGCTGATGCTGATGATGATGATGATGATGATGATTAGGAGGAGGAGGATGAGGAGGAGGAGGAGGAGGAGGAGGAGGAAGAGGAGGAGAGGAGGAAGAGGAGGAGGAGGAGGAGGAGGAGGAGGAGGAGGAGTGGACGAGGAGGGGGAGGGAGGAGGGGAGGAGGAGGAGGAGGAGGAGGAGGAGGAGGAGGAGGAGGAGACTTCACACGTTTTGACAAAAGTCAGAGCAGATGTTTTCGTCGCGTTCGGCCTCCAGCGGCTCTTGCTCGGCCCCGTCGCAGAACTACACGGGACGAGCAGCGGGGGGCTCTGGGGAAGGGGCCGGAACTTCCAGGGACCCGGCCCCAAAGACATCGAGGCGTCGGGCCTCTGGGAAGGGGGCGGGGTGGGCGGGGCGCCTGCCGGGGCGAGCGCAAATGGGGGACAGCTGCTGCATGCAGCTGGTTTCGGCCCCGCGGTCAGGCCCCTTCCCCAGGGTGCATGGGCGTCTCCTGGCGTCCCCTGGCGACGGGAGTCGCCAGGAAAGCCAGCTACGTAAGCTGATTCTCTACCGTGCCCTTTGCTATCCTACGGGTTCGTTCCCCCCGAGAGGGAGCAGGAGGGAGGAGGAGGGAAGAGGAGGGAGGAGGGAGAAGGAGGGAGGAGGGAGGATGAGGAGGCTGGAGGAGGAGGAGGAGGAGGAGGAGGAGGAGGAGGAGGAGGAGGGGGAGGAGGAGGAAGAGGAGGAGGAGCAGCAGAATGGAGGAGGAGGAGGAAGAGGAGGAGGTGGAGGAGGAGGAGAAGGAGGAGGAGGAGGAGGAGGCGGAGGCGGAGGACGACGTGGCTTCCCAGAGAGCGGGCCGGCCCCTTCCTTGTAGGGCGGCTCTCTCTTGGACGGCCACGCTCCCGCGCTTCGCCCCCTCCCCCCCCCTTCCCGCCCTTGCTTTTTGTGCGCCGCCGATGGCGCTGGCCAGACGCCTGTTCTTCTTCGGGGCTCCAGAGACGGGGGTCAATGCAAACGTGGGTCAGCAAGAGCGCCCGATCTTGCAGGATCCTGCAGGGCCAGGGTCGCATTGACCCCGGCTCGAGTGCAGGATCCTGCCGGATCCTGCAGGATCCTTCGCATTGGCCTGGGTGGGCTCGGGTGCAGGATCTTGCAGGATGTTGCAGGATTCTGCGAGGCCTGACTGACCCAGGTCTGGAGTGTTCGGAGTCAGAAGATCCCCGACTCGTGACCGCCGATTTCTGGCTGACCCAACAGAGGGTCCAGCGAAAACAGGGTGGTGCCATAGGTTTTGTGCAATTGTAGATTTGCTGGGTTTCAACAGATCTGGGGCGTGCAATACATCCTGGTGCGCAAGTGTACTGCTGGATTTCCGCGTGCAGTACCTCAGTTGCAATGCAATGCAATTCAAACTAATTTTCCGACGGAGTGCATTTGCAATACAGTTGCCCAACATCTATTGCACCACCCCCCTTGAGGTCGACCAAAACACATTCTCAAACCTCCTGTGTTGGGTTCTCCTTTTGAATAGCGCACTGTTGTCTCCACCCTCTTATCCTCCCCCTCTTCACCCTCCTCGCGGCTCCCGGGGGGGATCCAGGCGGAACATCGCGGCTCCCTGGGGGGCTCGAACTGCGCATCCATGTCCATTTTCGTGGGCTCCTGGGAGGCCCAGCGGAGTGGGAGAGTACGCAGATTCAGCCGAGACCTCTCGGCTCGCTGGGGGCTGCGAGCTGCGCAACTGTCGCCACTGTCGTGGGCTCCTCAGAGGCCCAGCGGAGGTGGGGAGTACGCAGATCCAGCCGAGATCTTTCGGCTCCCTGGGAGGCTGCGAACTGCGCAACTGTCTCCACTGTCGTGGGCTCCTGGGAGGCCCAGCGGAGTGGAGTAGACTACGAAGATCTACCGAGACCTCGCTGCTCCCTGCGGGGCTGCGAGCTGCGCAACTGTCGCCACTGCCGTGGGCTCCTGGGAAGCCAAACCGAATGGGGGAGTACGAAGATACAGCCGAGACCTCGCGGCTCCCTAGGGGGCTGCGAGCTGCGCAACTGTCTCCACTGTCGTGGGCTCCTGGGAGGCGCAGCGGAGTGGGAGAGTCCACAGATCCAGCCGAGACCTCGCGGCTGGCTGCCTGGGGGACTGCAAACGGCGCAATTGTCTCAATGTGTGAGCTCTTGTGAGGCGCAGCAGAGTGGGGAAGTACGTAGATCCAGCCGAGACCTTGCGGCTCCCTGGCAGTCGGTGAACTGCACAACTGTCTCCACTTTCGTGGGCTCTTGGGAGGCCCAGCAGAGTGGGGGAGTCCGCAGATCCAGCAGAAACCTCGCGGGTCCCGGGGGGGCTGCGAACTGCGCAACTGTCGCCATTGTCGTGGGCTCCTGAGAGGCCCAGCGGAGTAGGGGAGTACGCAGATCCAGCCGAGACCTCGCGGCTCGCTGGGGGGCTGCGAGCTGCGCAACTGTCGTCACTTTCGTGGGCTCCTGGGAGGGCCAGCGGCGTGGTGGATTAGAGTATGCAGTTCCAGCCGAGACCTCGCGGCTCCCTGGGGGGCTGCGAGCTGCGCATTTGTCGCCACTGTCGTGGGCTCCTGGGAGGCGCAGCGGAGTGGGGGAGTACGCAGATCCAGCCGAGACCTCGCGGCTCCCTGGTGAGCTGCGAGCTGCGCAACTGTCGCAACATTCAAAGGCGCCTTGGAGGCAATGCGGTGTGGGGGAGTACGCCGATCCAGCCAAGGCCTTGCTGCTCCCTGGGGGCCTGCGACGGGCGGGTCCTTCATTATGTTCGTTTGTATTGAACGGTCTTCTTATTATAGCCGCCCAATGTTTAGAAAGGGATGGGTACGTCGCAGAATAATGTTTATTCACCTGGGTTCCCCTTCCCTTCGCTTCCCAGATATCCGACCATATGTTTTTTTCAGTCCAGGAGTTGTTCCTTGATTTCGGCTTCTCGGCGCCTGATTGGGTCCTGGGATAATCAAATAGGGATGCAGCCAGAACAGCCCCCCGTGGGAAAGGGGGTCCGGACCTCTGGGGCCGCGCACGGCGAAAGACACATCACCAGCTGTGTGGGTCTCTTCCACATGGGAAATCTGGAGTAAGGCGCAGGCCACGATGAGCAGCACCAGTAGGAGGATGAGGAGGAGGAGGAGGAGGAGCAGCAGGAGAATGACCAGGATGACAAGGAAGCTGGGACCGACGAAGGATTCCGTTTGGAAGAGAGGTCCCAGGAAGCCGATGGGATCCACACGGCGCAGAGCGCGCCAAAGGGCACGCAGGTGGCGCTTACTTCCCAAGAGCACAACAGGCGTGAGTTTCCCACTACGCGGCCCCCGGGGGGGCCCCAAATCGGAAACTGGAACGTATACACTACCAGTGGCGGGCTGTTTCTTGAATCCCAGGACTTTTTGAGGGTCGGGGGCGACGCTGGGGTGGTGTGGTGTATATTTTTTTTCCCCGATGTCCCGGGAAAACAACGAAACATGTATACACCAGGATCCTGTATACACCAGAATCCGCGTTCCTCTGCGAATTTCAGCGCAGGGGCGGGAACAGCGTCGGTGTATAGAGTTCGTTGCCCTACAAAACAACATCTCAGGGGCAGCAGAGTCTGGGAGAAACATCCAGGTTGTTAAGCATCATGTCGTAGTCTGACGTGGCCCCTGCGAGGCGATGGGGGGGGGGTGCGGCTGGCGCGGCGGAGACCGCGGCGTCCCAGAGGGCGGGAAGAAAAGGAACGACAGGGGGGGGAGGAGGGAGGGAGGGAGGGAGGGAGAGGAGGAGGAGGGGAGGAGGAGGAGGAGGAGGAGGAGGGAGGAGGAGGAGGAGGAGGAGGAGGAGGAGGAGGAGGAGGAGGAGGAGGAGGAGAAGGAGGAGGAGGAGGAGGAGGAGGAGGAGGAGGGATTCCCAGGACGAGGAGGAGGGGGGACAGGTGGGAGGAAGAGGGGCGCGAGCGGGTAGTAGGGGGAGGAGGAGGAAGACAAAAAAAGAGCGGTGAACAGGGAGGTGGGGGAGGGAAGCATCGGCACAGGGGCGAAGAGGGAGGAGGAAAGAGGAGGATGAGGACGAGAGCGGAGGGCGCCACGGTTTCTGTGGCCAGTCCGACGAGGCTCCACGTGCTCGCTCGTGCACGCGCCTGTCCTTCCATGGCAGCCTCGTCTTCAAGCCTTGGAAGAGCTCAGCTCCGAGAGCCCTCCCTCCTGCCCCCTTTCTTGGGGTTAGCATTAAATCAGGCGTGTCCCTCTGCAGGAGGAATCTTCAACAATAGGAAAAGTTGTCTGGGAACGTTGTTTGCTGTTTGTCACATGTTTTTGGCTATTATTATTTTTCGTCCAAGATCCGCCTGTATGGGGGATACGCCCGACCTGCGGTTAGCATCGGTGGCGCGCCATGCAGCACGCGACTATGAGCATACCGTCGCAGGATCTGCTGCAGACGGGTGCGCATGCCCGCGCACGTCTGCTGCGCGCCCCGCAGCCGCCGAGGGTCGAGCCCCGAAGCCCCATCGGCACGCCCCAGAGCTGGGCAGGAACGAGCTGCGCAGTCACAGCCCGAGTGGCTGGTCGATCTCATCGTGCCCTCCTCCTCCTCCTCCTCGTCCTCCTCCCCCTCCTCCTCCTCCTCCTCCTCCTCCTCCTCCTCCTCCTCCTCTTCCCAGGCTGCAACTTATCCATGTCGTCTGCACCGGGAAAGGGACGTTCTGGGACCCGCTTCCACGCTTCAGCGCGACACGCTTTCCACGTACCAGTCCCTGAGCGTCAGCGTTCCGAGCATTTCGCAGCTCCCCGCCACTCGGAGCGGAGCGACACGCTATCCGCTTGCAGTGCATATCGTGTCGCCAGGGCCGCCGCCGCGACAAGCTGAGCAAACGTTCCCGACCGAATCCGCATCTCTATAGATGGCTACAAACATATACACACATTTATTTGAAAGACTGCATTGACACTTTGCGCCATGCACTTTGGTCATTGAAGTTTCTTATGCAGGCGGAATGGCAGGAAGGTCAAGCAGGCAATGTAGCGATAACTCAAGGCTGCCTTTTCCGGCATCACCGTTGATAATGTTATTCGTTATCTTTCGTCTATGCTTCTCTTCCTTTATTCTCGCCCTCCCCTGCGAATTCTTCCCCATCCTCCTCAGCTCTCTGGGGGCCTCACGGAAGTTTTCAGGCTTTCTTACGGCCTTCTGGAGGCCTCCTGAGCGTCTTCTGGGGCCTCTGGGGGCTTCTTTGGGCCACCCTGTCTCCAACCGCGGTCTCCCTGAACGACCAGGTCAAGGTTCGGAATGCTTCGGAAGGTGTTTTGGGGCCATCTTGGGTTGTCATGGCGCTCTCTTAGGCCATCTTGGATCCCTGTTGTGCCGTCTTGGGGCTTTCCTGGACTGCCTGGAAACCCTTCCGGATGGTTTTGGAGCGATCGTCGAGCCTCCCAGGCGGTCTCGGACGCCCAGAAGACCGAAGAACAGGGCATTCCCGAAATCATGCGAAGGGCCTTAGGGGGGCGTTCGGCTGCCCTCCTGACCGATTTGGGCCCGTTGCCTTGGCCCATTAAGGGCTTCCAGGAGGTCTGAAACGCCTGGGGGGCTTCCTGCAGGGGCGTCCAGGGGGTCCCCAGGGCCACGGATCCGGGGGGTCCAGAGGGTCTCGGGGGCCCGGGAGTCGGGCGTCCGATTTCGGGGGGGGGTTCCCCGGTAGTAGAAATATTGGAACTGAAACAGGTATGTATGTATGCATGTGTGTAGGTTGGTAGGTAGGTAGGTCAGTCGGTCGGTCGGTCGGCCGGTCGGTCGGTATGTATACATGTATGTATGTATGCATGCATGCATGTATGCATGTATGTATGTTTGCATGTCTATATGTATGTATGCATGTATGTATGTATGACTGTATGTATGTATGTATGCACGTATGTATATACGCATGTACGCATGTTTTTTTTTGGTTTTTATATAGATTTGATGCATGCATGTATGTATGTATGTATGTAGGTAGGTAGGTAGGTAGGTAGGTAGGTAGGTATGTGTGTGTGCATGTACGTATGTATGCATGTGTGCATGTAAGTGTGTATGTAGGTATGCATGTATGTATGTATGTATATATGCATGTATACATGCATGTATGTGTGCATGTATGAATGTTCGTATGTACGTATGCATGCATGCATGTATGCATGTACATATATACATATATATATATATATGCATTTGTGTATGTGTGTATCCACGCACGCATGTATGTTTATATGTACGTATGAATGTGCATATATGCATGCGTGTATGTACATGTATATGTATATGTGTGTCGATGTATGTGTATGTGCATGTGCATGTGCATGTGTATGTGTATGTGTATGTGTATGTGCATGTGCATGTGTATATGTATGTATGTATGCGTGTATGCCTGCCTGCATGTATGCATGCATGCATGCATGTATTTATATACGTATGCATGTACGCATGCACGCATGTACGTATGTAGGCATGCATGCATGCATGCTTGCATCCATGCATGTATGTATGCATGGATGAATATATATATATATATATATATATATGTGTGTGTATACACACATACGTATATTCATCGCCTCCCGAGGTCCAGGATACTGGTTCCCCAGGGGTGGCCACCGCTGGCTGCGAAAGAAGCGCCCGTGTCGAGCCTGGGTGGCAAAGCATCGTCCGCCAGCCCACGATTCTTTCGATGACAGATGAAGCCACTCAGAAGAGGAGGCAAACTCGGAGATGCACCCCCAGGGGCTACCCGGACGCACCCCTATGGAGGACGAACGCCCACCCATCGTATGTACGAGGGTTGCGCCCGAAATTTCTGGTCCGTCTGAAAACCCCACGAAGCCTGGGATATGGGGTCGCCGTATCCCCTGTTAAGAGTTGGCGCTTGTTTCGCAGCACCTCGCGCTCCCTCCCGGCGCGGTCGTCCGGCAACCTTGGGATGCGGGTGTCGGGTGGGGGGGCCCTCTCAGTGCCTTCACTGGTGGGCCTTTTTCCTGCTTTTGTCTTTGCAAACACGCGACGGTGCGCACGAGTCCCCGCCTCGCACCTCCTCTGCCGCGCGGATGGCGGCGGCCGCGCAGGGGCCGCCCCGGCCGGGCGAGGACGAGTGCAGGGCCGCCCTCCGGGACATCTGGCGGAGCAGGCCCCAGGTCTCGGCCCCGATCCTGCTGCGCCGGGAGCTGGAGCGCCACCTCGGCCTCCCGCAGCGCTCCCTGGACGCCAGCTGCACGTGAGACGTCTGCGTCGGCTCCCGGAGGCTTCTTCCTGCCTCGGGCTGCGTGCCGGCAGCTGCGCCTCGCCGAGGGCGCCGCGAGGGTGCCGCGGCCGTCCCGAGCGGCCACCGGGAGCCCGAGTTCTGGCCCGAGAGCCAGAGACCCAGACCGTTGGATACCATTTTTTTTCCGGTCGCGGTCGGGTAGCGACCGATCGGCACTCCAAGTCGGTCGCGACCGATCGCGACCGATTTCCAAATCGGTCGAGTCGCGACCGATGTTGAAGCAACTCGTTCGCCACTGGGGGGGGAGAGCAAGGGTCGGCTGCAGGCATCGGCCACACGTACGTGTGACCTTTCGCCAGAGTGACCTTTCCAGACCCATTGAGTCGTGAAACAATGATGACGGGAAGTTTTTCTCGATTTTCGGTTTCTTGGGGCCCTTACCGGGCCTCGGGACCGTGAACAAAACACGCGAGGCAGGATGAAAAAACCGGTCTTGGGGAATGGGCCGATACCTCCGGGGGTCGACGTTATGACAAATTCGTCGGGGGCCTGGGTTTGGTGCAGGCGCACAGGTGTCCCTAGATGACTGCACGCGATGCGATTATAGCAGCGGATTGCCCGCTCGGGTTTGGCCTCCCCGCGCCCCCAGAACGCTACGCCCCAAAGGTTACTCTTACCTGGTGTCGTTTTGGCGTGTCGCGTCGTGTCGACCAGCGGCGACCCCGCCGCCGGCGTTCAACGTTGAACGCCAGCGGCGGCCCAGAATCGGTCGATGTTGAACGATCTTGACGTTTCAGGGACGGCCGATCGTTATGAACGATCGGCCGTCTCTGAAACTTGAACTTCGAGGTTCTTCGGCCTCCGGGGGGCGTCTTCGGGCCCCCAGACCGTCCGAAGCGCATCCGCGTGAAACCTTGCGCCAGATGGACCTCGGGAGAAGTCCGCCGGACCCCTCCCCGGGGTCCAGACCCGTTGCCGGGGCCCAGACCCATGACCCGGTCCGGGGACAGATTCTGAGCAGATTTGGCTTCTTCCCCCGAGCTGACCGATTTTATGGTGCCCCAACCAGTTCAGGCCCCCTGGCTGCCTCAAAGCTTCACGAAGGTGACCTGCAGGAGGCTTCGGACCCTGGAGGATTGGATTCCTGATCTGATGAGGGCGGCGGCGATGTTCATGGCCAAGCCACGATCGGTGTTCCACTGGCCTCTCATGACGAACGAAGAGCAAACACACCCATATCCAAAGGGGGGGCGTTGGCAGGAGGACTGGCTATGGGTATGGGTGCGGGTTGTCGGACCCTAGGGGGAGCTCCCGTTCGAGCGGGGACCCCCATCCGACAACACGCACCCATGGCTTTCTCCGAACCCCACTATGGGTATGGGTGTGTGTGTGTGGGTGTTTGAGTGTGTCTGTGTGTGTGTTTGTGTGTGTTCGGCGTCGCCCCAACATACTAATACTATGTGTGCGTCGCCCCTCCAGGGGCGACACGCGCACCGAGGCATCTTATAGTATATGCATCGTGGCCGGCGCTTTCTGGCCACACTGCGCGGGAAACAAGACACTACAATGTTGCTATACTGCATGTTCGGGTCGGACGCGCGCCTCCAAGGAGGACATCTGGTACCGGTATGTCTCTGTGCGTTCCATGTGGCGTTCGTTCGTCGTCTCAGACCCTGGAGACCCTTAGCCGGTGGTGCCCTGGCCGGAGCCCTCTCGCCGTACTGGGCCGCCCCCTCTCTCGCCGTGCAAAGCCGCAGGACGTGCAGTGGGTTGCGCAGCTGTCGCAGGCCGAGCGGGCGGCGCGCGAGGAGCAGCGGCGGGCGGAGAGGTCAGTTTGCGAGTAGGGGATCGACAACAGATCCTTCTCCTCCTCCTCCTCCTTCTCCTCCTCCTTTTCCTCCTCCTCCTCCTCCTCCTCCTCCTCCTCCTCCTCCTCACCCCCCTCCTCCCCTCATTGATGTTTACTCCAAAATTGAGTTCCTCGCCGATTCTACGAACCAATGCGTCGAAGGTCCCGTAGATCTGCGAACATTCTACGCGTTCCGCGTATCTTCGGCGGGACAATCAGAATTGGAGTAGATCAATTCTGTAGCTGATCCCCTATTCGAAGTATCGTTTAACCTGTCCCCATGCCCATCAAGACACGGTTCGGTGGGGGCGTTCGTCAAGGAATGTGCCCAGGAGGCTTCAGACCCTGGAGGATCCCTGATATTGGCTGGGCGGGTGTGATATCCATGGCCATCCAGGAGTGGAGATCCACCAGCTTCCCGACCCTGGATTCCTTGCCCAAGAACCTTCACCGCATCGCAGTCCCACCACCACACCGCCCCAGCTGGGGATAGGCCCCCCTCGAGGCCCGCAGGGCGCAGCCTGCATCCCCACACTCCAGGGGGGCAGATCGGCCAGCGGGGCCCGGGCCACGCCAGTGGGGCTGTGGGGTCGATGCGGTGGTCCCGTGTGAACTCTGCCCGGGCCCCCCGCGATCTCTCAGGGGGGGGCAGGGGTGGTGCACTCCGTGCGGGAGCTCCATGAGCAGAGTGAGACCCCCCCCGCGAAATCGTGGGGGGTGGGGGCAGGGTCAAGCTAGCCAGCTCGAGCGAGTCAAGCATGGCATGCCCATTCCCACCCGCCCTCCCACAACATAAGAAACAGTGATGGCACAACCGGGGGTTGCGCGGGCATCTCGGTGCGAGTGGAGGATGCCCCAGGACACCGCATTGACGCCCGCGCGAGATGTGCGCCGCGCCCCATTCCCGCCACGAGGGTTCACCTGCAGCCACCGAAGCGATGATGAACGATGCTCCCCAGGGGCGGCAGGCGGCGAGCCGCCGACGGCGGCCGGGACCTGCGGGCGCCCCGCCCCAAGGCGGCGCGGCGGGCGCGGCCGCCGGCCTGCGGCGCGGAGCGCGGCTGGCGGGAGCTGTGGGACACGAGGCGCTTCGCCGACGCCGCGGTGGAGTGCGGCGGCCGCCGCCTGGAGGTCCACAGGCGGGCCGCGCGCGCGAAGGGGGGGCACGGCGCGCGGGGCGCTCGGTGCCCTCCTCCGCGAGAGGGCCTCTCGCCGGAAGGAGGGCACCCCACGCCGAAGGCGCAACCGGGGGGGGGGGGGCTGCTCAGAGGCAGCCCCCCCCCTCCTGGCAGCCCCTCCCAAGGCGCACCTCACGCCTAAGGCAGCCCCCTCCCCCCCAGGGGGCTGCTCCTGCTCAGAGGCCCCTCCTGGGAGCCTTCTCCCCCTCGGAGGCCTCTGGGCCCTTCTTCTAGGGAAGCCCCTGCCTGCCAGGCAGCTTCCCCCCCCTCCCCCCCCCCGCCTGCGTGGGAGGCCGCTCCCTCGCGCCAGCCCCCCGCGCTCGCCCTCCCAGCAGGGCTGTGCTCGCGGCGCGGTCGCCCGTGCTGATGGCGATGTTCGGGCAGGAGTCCGGAGGGAACGAACACAGACAGTCACAACTCCTCGTCGATTCCCCTGAACATGTGCGAACATATGGGAAGTGTGTGTGTGGTGGGGGAGAAAGACGACAAAGTGGTTTCCTCCCTTCTTTGAAGACCCAAACAGCAGGTTCTCAGAGCCTGGCTTGACCTCTTTTGGCAATTTTGGTGTGTACGAAGGAGTCCCAGAATACAGCCAGGCACAGTGTACCTTTGCAGTCAAGGAAGTACGCGTGGTGTTTTCGCACAGTCGGAAACAGAGGTGTCGTTCGTGACAGCGTCGGCCTGCCCCGTGTGGTTGGCTGTGGCAGGTCCTGAAGAGGATAGCCAACCACACGCCGGAACGCTGGAGACGGATTTGACCAGGGGTGCCCGAAAGAGTGGGCATACTCAGTCCTGGGCCAGAAAAGGAGACCAAAGGAAGTTGCGCACTCAAGTGCTTCTCGGCGACCCTGGCGCGGCATAGCTGTTGCCAGGCGAGCCTGAGGCGTGTGTACAAAGACTGCCTTATATGTTGCACTAATATGAATATCCAGGCAAAAGACTAGCTATCAGCCGAAAGTCTCTCCAGGAGCTCGTCTTCGGTGGTGCGGCCTTTTTCCCAACAGTCAGAGAGGTATCAGTGGTGGCTTTACCAAAAACGGGGCTTCGCAGGTGCGCTCTGGTAATCCACGAGCGCCTAACGCAGGGGTCGGGTGGCTCACACCCCTGGGCCGTGGTTAGTGTCCGCTCAAGGAAAAGGAGGCGATCGCCCTGCTCAGCTGCAGTTGCCGGCGGTGTCACGCAAGAGGGGGCAGTTGTTTCCTCCCTTCTTTGAAGGCCAACGCAGCAGGTTCTCAAAGACTGGCTTGACATCTTTTGGCCATTTTGCTGTGTACGAAGGAGTCCCAGAGCACAACCAGACACAGTGTATCTTTGCATTCAAGAGGTACGCGTGGTGTTTTCGCACAGTCGGAAACAGACGCGTCGTTCGTGACAGCGTCGGCCTGCCCCGTGTGGTTGGTTGTGGCAGGTCCTGAAGAGGATAGCCAACCACACGCCGGAACGCTGGAGACGGACTGGACCAGGGGTGCCCGAAAGAGTGGGCATACTCAGTCCTAGACCAAAAAAGGAGACCAAAGGAAATTGTGCAGTCAAGTGTTTCTCGGCGACCCTGGCGCGGCATAGCTGTTGCCAGGCGAGCCTGAGGCGGGTGTATTAAGAATGCCTTGTATGTGGTACCAATATGAATATCCAGGCAAAACATGGACAATCCCAAATATCTTTAAAAAGATTGGGGATCCTTAGATTTGTGTGTATATGTGTATTTGTTTGCGTGCCCCTGGGCCACATTCGAGGAGGGCATGCGGGAGGGGCTCGCGCGGGAGGTGGTCATCCCGAACTCTTGCCCTGGCATCGTCGAGGCGATGCTGATGTACATGTACGTGGGCGAGATCGGCGAGGGGGTGGATTGCGCGGGGCTGCTGCAGCTGGCCGACCAGTACCAGGTCGCCGGGCTCCCGGAGGCCTGCGCGGAGGTCCTGCTGGAGGAGCTGGCCCCGGAGACGGTGGCTTCGACGCTGGTCACCCTCAGGGATTGCAGGCACTCGAGTCCCCGCCTGGAGGCCGCCTACGAGCAGGTGCTCAAGTGCGTCCGCAGGGACAAGGCGCTGGTGCGGGCGGTGGCGGAGCACGTCGACGCGTGAGGCGATGACCCAGCGATGTTGTTTTTTTTGTCAGCTGATCCCTCCCCTCCTCCTCCTCCTCCTCCTCCTCCTCCTCCTCCTCCTCCTCCGCCTCCTGCTCCACCTTGTGCCCCTCCTGCTTCTGTAGGCGGCGGAGGGCCAGCTCCTGTCGTAAGGCGGCCTCTGCGTTGACTCTGACCTCCTCTGTGCCCTTTCGGCCCTTCCCACCGGCCAACCACGAGGAGGACACCCGTAATTTGCGTGGGCCTTGGCAGCGCCAGGCGGCGCAGCACTCTGCGACTGCTCGTCGTCGTTCCCCGTCCTCGTCCTCATCTCGGCGACTACAAAGGGTGCGGTTACGCTGGGGTGTGTTTTGCAACGTGCGCCCGTTGGTGCTCGGGAGGCACCACGTTGCCCTCGTCGGGCCTCCTGGGGGCGCGGCGGAGAACTCTGTCGAGGCCCTCGCCCGCTCCCCAGGGCGCGGGTTGCAAGCCACACCCCCTGCAAACCACACCCCTCGGAGCCGCCGGCCCTCGTCCCTCATCCCTCCTCCTCGTCAAGCCTCGGCGCCTGCCGGCTGAGACGGCAGGCCCATACGCTGAGGCTGCCCGCCGAGCGCCCGTGCTCTCATCCCCTCCGTCGTTCCCCGTGCCTCGTGGCGGGTGCGGTCTCTGTCGCGACGGCACGCCCGAGCGTTGGAAGGCCAACATCACCATCCCCGTCCAATGTACGCCTGCTGGTGGGGTCCAACCTCCTGGGGGTCAGGCAGAGGTGAGCTTGTTTCTGTTGATGTCCTTGGCCCGAGGCGGTATCTTTGTTAGCATGTATGCTTTCCCTGAGCATTTCCTCTGGGTTCTCCGCCAGGGGCAGCATTTGCCTCACTTGTTCTCCTTTGTTTTTGCCCTGCTTCTTTTCGCCCTGAGAACATGACATATGATCCCAGGGCGTGGCCCCCTCTGCCACATTTATGGGTCGTCCACTCCTGTTTGGGCTTCCCTCGTGTTTGCGTGGCTATGCGAGGTGGACGAGGAAACGAAGGATGATGATCGAGGGTGGGGCTTGTGTTTGCGGCTCGGGAGGCTTCTGGGTCCCTCCTGAGACCTCCGGAACCCCGCGTGCTCCTGCTACAGCTCCAGGCTCCTGCCTCTCACGACGGCGGCCAAGACGTCGACGCCCACGGCGAAAACGACGGCGACGATGCAGGCGACAGTGACGGAGACGACGGCGACGCCAGGCGCGATGGCAGCCTCGCGTCGATTTCGCGACTCGGGGCTCTGGACCCTCTCCAGGGCTGTTTTCCACCCCGAGCCGCTTTCTGTCTGCCACGCGGTGTGGCACAGGGCTTCCAGAGGCCGAGAGCGCTGCCTTCGTGGCTCCGGCGCCGTGCTCTGGGGGAGCGGCGGCTCCCCGCGCCCCTCCCCGGGGGTGCGCTGAACCCGTCCGTGGCGACGACAGCAGCCGAGGAGAGAGAGAAGCTGAGTGCAAACACGCACATGAGCACGAAAAACAGCCTCAGAGGGCATCGCAATACCGCGTGACGGTCGCGTACCAGGCTGCGATGGACTGCACTGAATCTTGCCAAAGATGCGCAAGGGCCTCCTCACCCCCAGCGGCCCGGACAGCAGCCGAGGGGGGCCCCGAAAAGGCGAGGACCAGGCAGCAGCATCGGCAGCTGCACTGGCACCCAGACGTGCGATGCCAGGACGTTTTATACGTGCGATGCCAGGACGTTTTCTCAGTGCGGGTTCCCCGGAAGTCCCGACCCTTTCCCTCGAACCGGGTGTCGTGTGGTGTGAAGGGGTGTGGTGCCGAAGCCGGATTTGGCGAGGCCATCTATCGTAGATAGCATCGCCATTCCCACGACTGGCACCAAAACCCTTTACGGTATGCCACACCCCTTTCCAACCTCAAGAGCTTTTCATCCTGCCTAGTTTTTTGAAAGTCCCAGGGCCCCGCGAGGGCCACCAGAGACCGAAAACGATGACGAACGCTGTCCCCAGACTTTTCCGAGACACGACCATGTCTGAGCAAACGTGGGCGAAAGCCATGCGGCCTCGCGGGCCGGGCCCCCGGGACGCGACCCTGTGGATACGGGGCGTTTTTTCGCGCATGCCCCTCGCGGACTGTGTCCGTGCGCAGCGTATCCGCGGGATCGCAGAATCCAGACCGCGAGGGCGCGCATATGGACATGTTCGCCGCTCGTGAGGTATGCCTCCGTCGTCGTCGTCGTCGTCGTCGTCGCCGCCGCCCTCGTCGCAGTGTTCGTAGTCGTCGTCGCCGCCATCGTCGCTGTCGTCGCCGTCGTCATCGTCGTCGTCCTCGTCGTCGTGATCGCTGCCCTGGTGGTCGTCCTCTGGACGGCGCGGCCAAGCGTGCGTCGAGGCCCTCTTTGATGGGCCGGCTTTCACAACCTTACCATAGGTATGATATGAAGGAAGAGGAGGAGGAGGAGCAGCAGGAGGAGGAGGAGGAGGAGGAGGACGGGGAGGAGGGAGGAGGGAGGAGGGGAGGGAGGAGGAGGGAGGGAGGAGGAGGGAGGAGGAGGAGGGAGGAGGGAAGAGGGAGCAGGGAGGAGGGAGGAGGGAGGAGGGAAAAGAGGAGGAGGAGGAGGAAGGAAGAGGAGGAGGAGGAGGAGGAGGAGGAGAGGAGGAGGAGGAGGAGGAGGGGGGGGGAGGAGGAGAAGTCGGAGGAGGAGAAGGATGAGGAGGAGGAGGAGGAGGAGGAGGAGGAGGAGGAGGAGAAGGAGGAGGAGGAGAAGGGGGAGGAGGAGGAGCAGGAGGAGGAGGACGACGAGGAGGAGGAGGAGGACCTCCCCATCCTCTCTTCTCCACCGTCCTGCCTATGATAGCGGTGGTGGACCATCGGCTACCTTGGGTCGGCTTGGAGCGGCCACGCCCCTGGCCGCCATGCGGAGCGAGCCGGCCGGGCTGCTCGCGGCGGCCGACGGCGAGGAGACCGGCGGCGAGCCCGGCGGCCGGTGCCCCGCGGAGGCCCCCGGGCGCACGGCGCCTGCCTGCAGAGTTCTTCGGCTGCGAGCCCAGGGGGGAAGCGAGAGTAGAACGGCGCGAAGATCGGGACAGAATCGGATCGGGACAGCTCGCAATCTCTGAGAATCGGCGGGTTTGGAGGATGTATTGGGCGCCGCGGCCGCTCCAGATCGTTCCAGAACGCTCTGAGAGCGCTCCGGAACGCTCTGGAGCGATCTATCCCGATCCTAGCCCTGTTTTAGAGAGGGGGCGGGCCTTCTCAGAAGGCTCGGAGGTCCCCCGGCCTGCTGAGCAGTTTCTCCTGAGCGCTCCTCGAGGGCACCGAGAGCTTCTCCCTTCCCCCCGTCGTTCGCCGCCGAACTCTCCTCTCAGAGAAGGAGAAGTTCCAGTATCGCTATCCTCCCCTCGGTGCTCCCCTTTTCGGCCTCCTGGGTTGCCCTCGCCGTCCCCGCTGGATTCGCCTCGAAATTCAAGTCAGAACGCACCCTAGGAGAGGTCCGGGGAGTAGCGGTGATCGGTACCTTTTGGTTTCTCCATCTTCAAGCGGGCCCCCGGCGCACGGGGCCTGCTCGTAGACTCGTAGAGTTTTCAAGGGTGTTCACTGTGCGATCGGTTCGGTCACATCGCAGTCGGTTGTATTCGGTCAGTTCAGTTCGGTCAGCTACCGTGTCGTTGCCGCGTCGCTGCGCCTTCATAGGCAGCTTTCGGCCTATCGATTTCGGTCGGTTTCGGTTTCGCTGTTGGTTCGGTCGGTGCTCGCTTGTGCTGTCGCCGTGCACGGCATTGGATCTTCAACTGAGCGGACGACAGCATAATTCACATAGGCGTATGTTAGATAGGATTGCGTACGCGTGCACACATGAGGCACGGGAGGCGGCGGAAGGCAAACGAGGACGCCTCCGCCAGCGGAAGTCCGGTCGTCCAAGAGATGGTACGTTTTTTTTGTGGGTCATTTTTCTGGATCCGCCGTATGCCGTTTAAACATTGCACACGTAAGCTACGGAAGACATTGCGGTCGGCTGCCCTAACATTGGCCAGTAAGCTGCCCACGTAGTGTCGAACGTTGACGCCTTCTTCTCCACGCGGTGTGCCACGCTGGCGGCCCGCGTAAGCCGCGGCGTCAGGTCGCTATGCCATCTTGCGTAAGGCACACTTGTTTTGTCGTTCACATGTATGTAGACATGCGTTTGGTATATCTGCATAAATTCCCACATAGATTTGTAGAGTTTATGCATATATGTGTTTACGAATGTGCTTGTACAGGTATACACATATACACCTCCGCCCCGCCATTGCCGAAACTTACGAGTGAGGGGGCGCGCTGGCCGGCTTGCCCAGGCTGCGAGGCTCGGGCGCCGATGTACAGATTCCTGCCGCAGGCGCCGATTTGCCCGAAGCAACCAACCCGCCGCATGTGTCAATTTTTGAGTCACGGGCGTGGGCCATGGTTTGGTCGCGGGCGGGTCGCGGAAAGGTCGCGGGTGGGTAGCGGGTGAGCCGCGGAATGGTTCAGTGGGTGGGTCGCGGTGCGGGGCGCGGGGGAGACGAGGACAGCAGCAACACACCACAACACAACACAGCAAACACCGGCACCGCGGAATCCCACTTCAGATTTTGATTTTCCGCCATCGGGGATCCAGGTCTCCGACAAACTGTTTTTCTCGATCCGGGGATTTTTTGCCGATTTCGGCTCTTCGGGTCGTCTACTTGGCCACGTGTAGGACCAATGAACATGGATGCGCGATTAATTTAAGTACCTTTGGTGAAGTAGTCGGGACGTCTGTTGCTGCGCATTCGGAAATCTGCGCAGATTTCTTGGACCCGCGCTGGACCTTGTCACTGCCATCTCCTGGAAGGCCCTCGTCGCTTTGGCTAGATTCGCCTCGGACTCCAGGTCAGGACGCACCCTTGGGGAAATTCTTGACTCTTCGCGTAACCCCACCAACTGTCCTCACCGTCATCGAGCTCGTGGGCATCATGAATTTCGCCGTTTTGTTGTTGCACCTCGACCAGTGGTTCTTCCTGGTCTACCGCGTCTCCTGAGCCGTCGCGTAGCTCGCTCCTGTGTGCTCTTTCTTCGTTTCATCGTCCGCGTTGTTCGCTTCGTGTTCCGTTTGCTTTCGTTTCCCCTTCGTGCCGAGAAATGTGGGCCGTTGCTAGTTAGCCGCGTTTCTTGAAGGCGCCCGGCATCCCGGCGCGTTCGCGAACAAATGTAACCCCACAAACCCATCCAGAAACGATGCCAAGAGGAATTGCCTCGATCAGGGAAGTGGGAGCAGCACACAAAGGAAAGGTCCACCAGTGGAGGCCTCTTGGAGCGTCTTGGGGGCCTCTTGGCGGTCTGGGGCGCCTCTTAGAGCGTCTTGGGTGCTTAGGATAGTTTCTTGGGGCCTCTTGGGGGTCTCCTGGGAGCGTCTTGGAGGCGTCTTGGGCGCCTGTTGGGGCCTCCTGGGCGCCTCTTGGGGCCCTCTTGAAGCCGTATTGGGAACCTTGGGGGCGCTCTTGGCGCCCGCTTGGGCCATCTTGGAACCTTCTTGGGCTTCGGATGGCCATCGGAAGCGAAAAGGCGAGAAAGCCACACACATGTAGTTCCCCACGGTTTTGGATGGATTTGGGCCTCTTCGGAGCCTCCTGGGGGAGCTCTTTGGCCACTCGGAGCCGTCTCGGAGCAGCATAGGAGCCATCTTGGAGGTCATCTTGGGCTCCTTCAGGCGCTCTTGGAGCTATCTTAAGCAGTGCCCCCCCCCCCCCCCCAGGGGCCAACATGTGGCC